TGACGTATATCCGGTACTGACATTACCGTAGAACATCGCTAGACCTCCAAAGAAGATACTAACGTTCCACAAATCAATCCGCAGGCGCGGGAAGAAGCGATGGAACACGAATAGGATCGGGGGAATGACAGCTCCCACGAGGAAGGACCATGGAAGTGGCGCCATCTCGGGCTCGGCGAAAAGTCGTTTGGGTCCGAGAACGGCGTACTGGATACCCATTGTATTTTGACTGACAAGTTTCTGACCAGTCCACTGGTTGAGAGGATCACTCTTCTTGCCTGTCAGGAAATCGCCCTTGGTGTCCATGACCCAACGAATAACTGCATAGTTGATGGGAACGCCCATCAGCGTGCCGAAAATCTGTGAGAAGAACACCTCGCGCGGTGGGATGTGCATGTAATGGCCGATTTTTTGATCTTGAAGCATGTACTGTGCTCGGTACCATGCGTCTCCAGCAATAGAACCGTAGATCGAGGGTCCAACGGGGTGCTGATGGCCGGAGCCAGCTTTAGTGTGCACCATGTATCCGTACATCAACTCATTGAAGGAACCGGTCTCAAGCTGATAGTTCGAAATGGCATATAGCCAGGCAAAAGGGACCACGAAAATCGCAGCACTGGCCAGTGCCACAAACATCGTCCAGATGGGGATAAAAAGATATCCGCACGCGATACTGGTGATCAGAATGACGAATCCCGCCAGAAATAGTGCAATATACCACCAGGTTGGGATTTCCTTATAGTTTCGCTGGATGACATTGAGCCGATCATGGTATTTGTAGTGAATTCCTTCTCCTTGTGTGGATTGAGCGTTCTGGCCACCCTGGGCATTTTGGGCATTTTTGCGGTTTGCAAAGATCTTTTTGAGATTGCTGCTTACTTGGGTGTAACCGAAGGTGAGAATCCAAGTAATCGCCGCTGGAAGCTTTGCATAATCGAAAAATGTCGACCACACGTTCTGAGTTCCCATGTACATTGGACCGTACTCCTGATAGGCGGTCTCGTTGAGGTTGAAACTTGGTGTGAGCACCTTTGCCGTGGGGTATTGGGTTCCATTAGCCATGAATAGGCTGTTCGACATGAGGCCATGCTTGAAGGATCCGAGATTTCCCCATTTTGCCGCGGGTAACAGGACCCAACAATTGAAGGCAAAGGCAAGAAACAGGATGACTTGTGTCCACCAGGGAGTAAGTAAAATGGAGGACCCGTTCCAGTTGATGTTTGACCAATCCAGGGATAGATTGAGGAAGCCCATACCGCCCAAACCAGACCCGATGAAATTGGCAACAGGATTCCGAGGCGCAACCCAGCAAAGAAAGGCCAAGGATGACGTGAATGGAAAGACATATTCGGGCAAAAATTGCCAGAGAGTCATTGCCAGAAGAGAGAAGAAGAAGAACTTCATCTGGCGCCGAGCAAGACGCGACGTTGTGTCTGTTCGTCGGAATGTTTCGAACAGGGTCGTCTGCATCAAGGCTTGCGGCCAGATATACTCTGGGTCTGGTAGAAGAATTTGGCGGGCAAGAGCCGCGAAAGCATATCCGATCCACACGATCGCGAGCATGAAGAATATTGCAACTGCGGGTTGGATTCTGTTGCCGTACCATAACTCGGCTAGGACGATCGAAGCATAGCCCATATTGTAGGTTGCACCAGAAGCCGCTGTCACCGTGACCAACACATGCTCCTTGATACTCCAAGGTCCAGGATTCAGGCTAAAGCCCCAGCTTGTCCCCGGAACCCGAAACGTCCAAGCCGGTAATACTCGCGCAAGGAAATGGCCGGCATAGTGACAGGCGATCTGAACGAAGAAGACCGAGTAACTGGCACTGGTTGTGCGGAAGTAACTTAACTGGGAAAGGAAGGCCCCAGGAATAACGAAGATGACCGCGAGAATAAAGTAGCGAAATGTAATCGTAGGTAGAGTGGGGTCATCAGTCAAGTTGATCAACTGTCGCACCTGCAGAGGAAGCGCAGCGATTTCAGGGTCGTCGTGACTTTCTTCTTCAATCGCCAACGTCTCAGACACCTGCACCTTCTCCGAAATGGGCAGATTGTCGCCAGTCACTTTTGGGGTAGAAGAGGTATCCACATGTTCTTCGCTTGTCCGTTCTGAAGACTCGCTGGCTGGGGCTGGGTGGTGTCGTCGTCGAAACACCCCTAGAAGAGCCATTTTTGCGATAGACGGCCAGGGATCGTCTCAGCAACGCTGGAAAGGGCAGACCGCTAAACGATAGTGAGAAAAAAAAGTGAAAGTGAAAGCAAAGCAAGGGCGCACCTACACATTTTCAGCAATGAAAGCGGAGTAACCTCGGAATTTAAAACTGATCGTGTGTACGGTGTACCTTTATCAGCTTCTTTCATGGCGTGCGAGCTAAAATCGGCGACCACGGAGGAAGCCAAGTTCTTCGAACGCCCCTCGAGCAGACCAAACCAATCAAACCAAACGATGTGGTAACAGGGCGCACCCTCCGAGAGCTTGGATGCAACAAGATCATCTGTAGCGTGGATGGCGTTATCTCGGTCTTGTCCCATTCGGGAAACGATCCGAACTTAGCGTCGGCCTTGATTTGATGATGACCGCTGACCAGCAACTGTTTTCCGACCTTCATAGAGACTGACCTAGATGACACTGCTTACGCGACAGTTGAAGTATATCTGGACTAGGAACTCACTACTGGTGATATTTTAATATACAAAAATTGTCGCTTTGAATCAAGTAACCTAGTATTCCGAATAGCGCATGCTCATTGGTCGAGAAACATAATATCATATTGTGACGACTACTATGGGAGATAACTACATCTAAGGATGACTACTAGTGGGATGTAGTGAAAATGATAAGGTATTACACAGTAGTCAAGCTGGACCTCTTTGGCGAGAGTCAAGGTTATCACTTCACCTGAATCACACGCAATAGCCACGCGTACTGCTACCGGCGTCTCACATATAGCATACCCGGGGATATCGAACTTGAATTGATTCAGCATGGGCGGATACCTAGCCGGCAATCGTATCAGCTCTTTGTTTTGGTAGGTTATCCAGGATAGTGACGCGTCGATGCCGTATCTTTGTTCCGGCTCAATGACAGTTTCAGCCGAGATGCGAATGCCAGTCTCGAGATTGATGGTGCCGATAACTGTGTGCAGGTGATTTGGTATGGCCTCATTGAATTGAAAGGAGTTGTATATTTCTGGCGTAGTCAAGTAGGCTGGTAGTTCGGCCTCAAATCTTGAGAGTATCTGGCTGTTTGTCGGATCCCAATATTCGATACTTAAAGTCGTTCCATGGCAACTGGGAGTAGATGAGACTAGTTTTCCATCTCATGACCAAGTAACAAAATCAATCCGACGCCCACAGGCCCTTTCAAGTTCTTTGATGGCTTTAAGTTCTCCAGATTTCCGGTTCCAGACGTAGAGACTGCAATCGCACGTTCCAAGAGCAAGATTTGATCCATCCCAAGACCAGCAAAGCGCCGTTACTCTCTCAATAAATGGAAATCTAAAGACAGGACTTCCCGCCGGCTCCAAGACTCGTAGGGGTCCATAACTAGAACTGGAAATAAGCAAAACCCCATCCGGTGACCAGGCGAGAGACTCAATCTTCTGGATATTGATATATGGTTCCGCTGATGAAGGGGTGGAGTCAAATGGACTCCAGATCATGATAGAATCCTGAGCTGATGCCAGCCGCCCACTTGGCGACCAAGAAATATATGATCCACCTACGTGGCGGAATGAAGATACAAGATCACCATTCATGGAGTTCCTGATATGGATCAGAGAACTGGATTGGCTTATGGCAAGGTGTTCACTGTCCGGGGACCAGGACATAGAATGGAACAGGGAAAAGTCTTCTCCAAGTCCAAAAATTATACTTTCCTCTAGATCCAACAGATTCCAAATTCTGATTTCTCCAGTCGCAAATGCCGATGCTAGCTTCATTCCATTCGGCGACCACTCCAGCTCCCAAAGAATTCATTAGGCTTTGCGGAGGACTAACACGCATTCTTCGGTGTTGGTATCCCAAATTTCGATGACAGAGTCACCACTCATATCCGCCGATGCCAGCCGGCTCGCATCGGAAGAAAAAGCATATATCCGTCGTGAGTTCAACCTTTCGGCTTTTCCGAGAGTGGTCCGAGATTTTCCAGTAACTGTATCCGATATAAGAACATGAAGATTCCCTCCCACAGATACGAGCTGCCGATCATCGCTTGACCAGGCTATCTTCTTGACATTATGCTGAAATCCTTGAAAGGATTGTAAGCATAGACCGGTCTTTATATCCCAAATATTGATTCGTCTGTCTTCTGCTGATGCCAGTCGGCCGCTATCATGTGTCCAGGCAATTTAAAGAGTTGCCCCGGAATTTCCCTGGAGATTCAAGGTACATTGACCGATAACCGGATCCCAAATTTCAATAGCACCGCAAATTGTTGCTACTGCGAGTTTATTACCATCTGGCGACCAAGATATGACAGAGATTTCTTTTTCGTCGATTCGGTCGAGCGTCAAGAGAAGTGGTCCCCAATTTTCACTCCCGGTGGAGACTGCCAGAATCTAAGAAAGTATCTCCTCCTGGTAGCACGTTCTAGTGATGCTGCTTTTTGGACTGAATATCAGACTTGAAATATAGACTTGAAGAGGGAAGCTTTCGATAAGATTTTTATGTCGACGTATGAATCTAGACGCATCTCGGACCCGATCTAAGAGTGACGATAAGCCAGATCTCTTCGATTTCCTCGTTCATGCATCTGTCAGTAAGCTGCATTATCATCGAAAGAAGGGAATTACCTGTATGAAATCTTCCAACTGTAGTATCGTCTCGATTGCTTCTGTCACAACTCTAGCAAGGAGGTGGCTTCAATCCAGTTAAGAAGTTTCTCCCTTAGAAAGGTCTCTAACAATTCACAATGCCCGGGATCAATCTCCCTGCTGTCTTCGAGATAGCCTTGTTGCAAATGTTCCACCCAAAAAGCACATGAGTACTCGATGGATATCAATGAATCAGAAATTTCCTTTTGGTCAAGTTCGTCTCTTGGAGAAGAGAGGCGGGACCCATGCATGTCACGTCGGAGTGTGCTGAAAAGAATGGGTAGTAAGTGTGACAGAATAAGGAATGCTGCGCTGCAGCTCCACTTGGGAAAATCAGACTTGAAGCTCTATCCACTAAGAAGTCCTTTGCAGATTGATGGACAAAAAATATCCGATCACCATGCAGCGTTAGGAATGAGCCACATGACTTTATCAGCTCTGGTAAACATCCCACGTTAACATCATGAGGCAGGTCGACCAAAGTGAATAACTCTTCAAGACCAATCGGTCGGTAGACAGTGAACACGGTCGCCAGGACTTCGCTAAAAATGTCTGCGTCTTCCGAAGCTTGCACTCTATCTAACATCTGCTTATATAGAGGCTCAAGTCCTGGTGGGAAAGATGTGAGCAGTTTGAGCGTTTTCCAAGACCTTGCTTTCTGGAGCTTCTCGTAGACTAGAGCTACCCATAAATAGGTACCATGTGCATTCGCACGGAGATGCTGGTAAACAGCCTCACGGGTATCCGAACTATACATCTCCTTCCTAGCCAGTTGCTGGATCTTCTCGTCGATGTAAAATGCAAGCGCTTCGGAAACAGATTTCTCGTTCAATTCTAGAGAGAGCCCGATCTTCTCATTTGCGCAGTTGAGGTGTTCATCGATAATCGGTAAATTTCGACCAGACACAATCCAGTTGATAGCTAAGGAGCCGGGAAGCGATAAGCCGGAAATAAAATTGAGCAATTTTGGCATATCCGTGAGATACTCGTCGAGTGCGTCGATGAGAAAGTAAGTGCGGCGTAAACTTGGATCTACCAAAATATCCGAGAGAATGCCAGTGAGGGATTGCCATATTTGCCATGTATTCATATTTTCGAATAATTGCTTTCCCGCTTGATCATAGCGCTTCCTGACATGAGAGAGAAGCGAAGGCTGCTTCTCTGTGATCAGATAAATAAAGGCCCGAAGTACTGAAATCGCACTGTTGATACGCTCGTCGGTAGCTTGACAGAAGAAGAATGAGATGTTTGCCTTGTCACCAATATCACGTTCTAGTTCGTCGATTATCCCGCACGTAAGCATTGTCTTTCCTTTTCCGGGATCGCCCTTGATCCAAAGGAGATTGACGCTGGTGTCTGCGTGCCATGACTGGTAGTCTTCGTTGTCTACGATCCAACGATATGAGTCCTTGAGAAGACCCCCCTTTGTTTCTTCAATCCGCTTCTTGCCATCGCGAGGATTTGTTGTGCATAGATAACGAAGACATAAGGTATCAGACAATGACTCTGACTCCACTAGCTCGTGAGAAGTGCATGCCGTCGTTAATTCCAGTCCATTTCTGCCCCGCGTTGAGTATCATCTTACCTGCGCCGGAATGAAAATGATTGGTGATGTTGCCATGATTCTGGTCTGCGACGCTGCCGTGGTTCTGTGCAACCTGAGACCCGCAATTTGCGTCCCCAAAGGATGTTTGTTGGTTCATCGTGACCCTGGAGTGTAAGAGCCTCCAAGTTGGCCTCCAGCTGAAGGAAATCCTACCTTGGCCCCCCAACTACCCCACATTATGCGCTGGCGCCAGCTTCAAAATAGCCAGTTAAATTGAAAGTCCACACACCCTCATAGTGAATCTCTCGATCATGCACCATATTTCGAATTTTATGACGAAGGTAAACCTCAAGTCCACAGTGGGTCCATAACAAATCGGGCAAATGGAGCAACATTGAGGCTGTGTGCCCAGGGCCCTGGTATGCCTGCGCCCGACGATCTCAACCATGATCTCGAACTTGTTATAAAATAAGGCAACCCGGAATTTCCAAGTCACACAACCCGATTCTATCACAAGCAAAAGTTATGTATCTGCGAGGATCTCCATATCATGCCGCCCGAGCGCGGAACCGCAGACCCACACGTACAACATCGAGTACCAGCCAACAAAGCCAGCGACAAGAAGCCAACTCAGTCGCCCTCACTTCAAGTCCATCAACATCAGCATCTTCATCAACATCTCAAAGAAGAGAGGAAGAGCCCCCCGAATGGCCGGACAATACCAATGATCCTCCACCGCCATACTCCGAAATACCCTCCCCACACAGATACTACCCACCCGATCTCTTCCACTAAAACCACCGAAGCTGAGGCTGCGAAGGCTGCGAAGGCTGCGACGAGGTAGATCAATCGCCAACCTCAAGAAAAAAGCTCCATGTACCCTAAGAAGACAGAAACCATAATACCATGTCAATCCAATGTCACAACCAACTAGTAATTTTATTCATACTCTCTATACAACATCTAAAACAAATCCGTCATAGCACCATGCGACGCATCCCCAACCAAATGAGCATACTTAGCCAACACACCCCGAGTAATCTGCGGCACAGGAGGCGTCCACAATTTTCTCCGCTCAGCAAGCTCTTCATCCGAAACATCCATCGACAAAGAATTCGTCTTCGCATCAATAGTAACCACATCCCCATCCTGAACAAGTCCAATAGGTCCACCAACCGCCGCCTCGGGCGTGATATGACCAACAATGAATCCGTGACTAGCACCCGAGTACCGTCCATCCGTAATAAGCGCAATATTGTTCAATTTCGCCCCCATCAGTGCGGCACTGGCCTTCAATTGCTCCGGCATACCGGGTCCACCCTTCGGTCCCTCATACCGCACGATAAGAACCAGGTTCTCGCCGCGTGGGATCTTGCCCTCGTTTAGAGCGTCATTGAGCTGGCGCTCCTTATTGAAGACGCGCGCTTTACCTGTGAAGCTGAGACCCTCTTTACCAGTGATTTTGGCAACCGCACCACCCGGTGCCAGGTTGCCGCGGAGAATTTGGATGTGGCCGGTCTCCTTGATGGGGTCTGTGAGGGGTCGGATGAGAGTTTGTTCTGTTGGGAGGGAAGGCCAGGATTCTACGTTCTCGCGTAGTGTTTTGCCGGTTACGGTGGGGATGTCTCCGTCCAAGAGACCCGCGGCAATGAGCAGTTTCTGGACCGAGGAATACCGCCGATCTCGTAAAGGTCGGCCATGTAGTACTTTCCACTTGGAGAGAGATTGGCGATGAAGGGGATTTTGTTGCTGACGCGCTGGAAATCGTCGAGGGTTAGGTCGACGTCGGCTGTGCGGGCCATGGCGAGGAAATGTAGGACGCCGTTGGTGCTGCCGCCCAGTGCCATGGTCATGACGAGGGCGTTCTCGAAGGATCGTTTTGTGAGGAGATCGCGCGGTTTGATGTTCTTCTCGAGACAGACCTTGATGGCGTCTCCGGCCCGGACGCACTCGCGCATCTTGGATGGGGATTCGGCTGGGGTTGAGGAGGAGCCGGGTAGAGAGAGACCCATTGACTCGATGGCTGTGGCCATGGTGTTGGCTGTGAACATGCCGCCGCATGCTCCGGCGCCGGGGCAGGCGTGTTTCTCGAGGTCATCCATGATCTCATCCTGGGTCTTGCTAGTGTCGCCGCCGTCGTCGGGCTGGCGGAGCGTATCATAGGCATAGGCGCCGGCAGCCTCGAAGCAGGTGGAGATGTTGACGGGTTTGCGAAGGTGGTCTGAATATCCAATACCAATGGTCCCGCCGTAGATCATGATAGATGGACGGTTGTGACGAGCCATGCCCATGACGACACCCGGCATATTCTTGTCGCAGCCGGGAATCGCGATACAGGCGTCGTGGTATTGGGCGCAGGTGACGGTCTCCACGCTGTCGGCAATGATTTCACGGGTCTGCAGGGAGAATCTCATACCTTTTGCAAGAGTCAGCGGATGATACAAACTTTAGACAATAGCTAATCGCGCAATTTGCTTGACTGCTCGTTGGAGAAAACACACCGTCACTACCCATAGTAATAGCATCTGACACGCCAATGGTGTTGTACTGCCACCCAATCATACCCCTCTCCGACACAGACTTCTTGACGGTCTTTCCCAAGTCCATCAAATGCATATTACATGGGTTGCCCTCCCACCAAACGGAAGCAACGCCAACGTGGGGGCTCTTGGCCATGGCATCCTTGTCCGGGACGCCTGCGGCGAAAAGCATAGCCTAGGGATTGTGTCAGCATGAAGCCCAGGACATCAATTGGGGGTTTATATTTCACTTGGGACGTACTCGAGCACCGGGGAAGTCATGGCCTCGTGTGATGGTCGATGAATGACGATTGAGTGCGGGGGAGCCATCAGGGTGTTTGGCGTCGGTGGGCAGACTGGGGAAGTTGATATACCTGGCTTCGGCCAGCTTGGGGGGTTGAGTGGGATCCATGGCGGATATACTCGAGAACGAAAATGGAGAATGGAAAGTTTGCCAATGGCAATGGTACTCAATTTCAACAGTTCATGGGAAGTTCAAGTTCCCAATTCTCTGGGGCTCGCAAAGAAAGCCGAGGTGGAACCCCGCGGGGCAGTGACCAGTCACCGTGAGGGCATTGCTCAGTTGTTGTGGGGATATCAGTGGGCTATACATGGGAGTACTACTAGTATACTAGATATTGGATACACGGTTGATCCTAAATTTATTGCTTAATTGATGAGATTAAACCGTTGGCTAGATTTATGAGGTTGCTGTACTTATGTACTCTATGTACTATTTACTAGATTCACGGTCTTCGACGTCATCGACGGGAGAGGCGGAATCTTACATCCCATGATCCCATGACCCCATGATCCCATGATCCATCATATTCAGTTATCTTCCCTCAATGACAACGCCTTTCTTCCATACTCAGTCTCCCTCTCAGGTCCAGATCACCGTAATCACCTCAAAATGACGACCGATATCCGAATCGCTCAACTAGTCGGCACTCTGGGCTGCGGCATCACAGCCGGCAAGCAACCTCCTGCCCGATCCATACAGACCCTACCAGATGCTAACAACACGATACAATACAAACAGGTGGCATGTTGTGTCTCTCAGTAGTCACAATTCCCGCACTTTCCCTTCCTCCCCGCCATCCTCCCTCCGCCACTCTCCCAGAGCACGAATCCCCCGCAACCCCGGTCTCCCACCTCAGCCGCCAATGGCTTGACGTCTACGAGCGCGGCAAACATATCTTCCCGCCTATCGCCATAGTAGCTTCTACGGCAAATGCCTACCTCGCCTGGAGGCTGCATGATGTCCAGGCCCCTGAAACGGTGGGCTGTAGCTGGAGCAGCCTCTATATTGCGGCCGCCGGGACCACCTTGGGGATCATTCCATGGACATTGACTGCGATGAAGACGGTCAATGACCAATTGAAGGCGCATGCGGTGAGAGATGATGCTTCGACGGCAGAAGGGAGTGGGGGGATGGTTGTGAGTGCAAAGGAGAAGGCTATGCGCGCGAAGCAGGATGAGCAGGTGCCAGGCTTGATGCAGGATTGGGCATGGCTGAACTTGTGCCGGGCAGTATTTCCACTTATTGGAGGTGCGATTGGTTTCGCTGGGGCGATTTGTATGGATTCAATTTGAATTGAAGGTAATTAGCAAAGATAGTCGTGGCAAATAGTATGTATACTTCATTATGTACAGGAAGTTTCTTGGTGAAGTGGTGGGTGGGTATCGATGGATATCTAATGGCTGGGTGCAGTTGACCCTTGTCAGATGATATAAACACTGCGAAAGCCAGTGATCGTGGGGGTAAGATCACTTTCACTGCTCAGGGATGGGCTTCGGATGGCTCCTCCTCGGCATGATGGTCTTCGGCAGGTTCTGTTTCCTCCGTGGACCATTCGCTCGAGTGCTGTAGAGCTTCATCCGCAGTGATCTCTTCTAGTGGACTGGACTTTCCAATAGCGGTGCCATTCTGTGCTGCCTCTTTGGAGTCATCGCCCGGTTCATCCATAGCGAACCCGACAATCTTGCCGGTGCCTGGCTGGGACCGAGCCTCTTCCAGAACATCGCCATTCCAAGGCTGACATTTCTTAACAACCTCACCGCACCGGAGACACGTCCAACCTTGGCCCTCTTCTCCCTCTAGCTTTTGTACAATACAGACAAAACAGTATATGCACCCGCAAGGAACGGTCTCGTATGGGTTGGTGATGTCAGTCTGCGAAGATCCAGTAATGCCACCAGACGATGCTGATGCTGCTAGAATTTCAGTTTCTGTGGTTGCGGCTGGGTTCTGATCTCGGTAGCAGATAGCGCAAGTACGCTCCGGAAGGTGGCCGAGCTCTCCCCGCTTTTCTGTAACTTCGTCTTCATCGCCACTCGACTTGAAGGCATTGAGTGTCTTTTTCCATGCGCGAGCTAGCCACCTCTTCCATCGACTGATGCCCACTAATGGCAATAAGAAGAGTAAGAACTCGGTAAAGGCGTGCCAGACCAATTGTCGGTTCAAATACTCGAAGGAAACCTCACGACTAGCCTGGGAAGATGGAGGTGCAAGGCGGATGCGGAGAAGGCGGTCGACGAGGGTGCGGTAACGGCCGTTCACGAGGAATACGAGAAATGATACGAAAGCGGCGATGGAGTGTGACGTAGAGATGAAGTCTGTCAGACGTGACAACATCCGGACTTCCTGCGATGGCTGGGGAGGAATGTCAGTACCGAAGAATACTCAAGTCAACGAAAGAGCTACTCACCTCTTCATAACCGCCTTCTTGTCCAACCAACCAGCTCTCCCACTTGTTCCAGGCATAGCGTCCACCAACAGTCAGCAGGGCGTACGCTGATTTCTGCCATGTTGTTGGAGGAGAGAGAACAGGCCCTGTGCTGCGACTATCGCTATATTGTAGGCCCTGTAAGGCGGCGCCATAGGAGGCATTGTGGTCCCACATCGAGAGTTTGAAGAGGATAGCTCGCAGGGCAAATAGGATTTCATGTGACCACTCTTCCCTCATTTGAGGCTACGGGTGGATTAAGATTAGCACTCCTCTCCAAGTTCAACGCGATATGATCCATCCGGTGTATACATACTCCGAAGTATTTGAGGGCCTCGCCAACCTGACCCTTCAACAGACCGAGCAATTCCTCATCTAGCAGCTCGGCATCCACCTGGCCAACTCGAAAAGCTGGTCGCGTTCCATCTCGATCTTTCACATTATTCCATAGAGACCAACCGGCGCCGGGGACGCGGTTCAGGGGATACGGAAGGCGTTGGACGGTGGCCGGGTTGATCGGAGAAGCCCGTTGCTGTTCCGCACGGCGGGCACGCGCTTCTGCCTCACGGAGGCGGCGGCGCTCGAGCACCCGCTCCTGTGCAGCGGCGAAGTTTGACGAACTCATCTCGAAATCATTATGTGGTGGATTGCAGGGTGGCGTGAGAGGAGATGAAGCGTCCAGAGGATGAACGGGAAGCAGTCATGGCGTCTCGGTTCCCCGGACTGGGAGCCGAGGTTAGATTCACGTGACTGGGGTATCATTAGAAAGGAAAAGTGGAGACCAAAAGTGGTTTGTATTCTATAAAATTGGCAATATACAGAAATCGGAAGAAAGGGGAAGAAAAATGGACACTCGGGATCTTATGTGAGAGAGTAAGAAAAGGGTGACAGCGAAGGGCATCTACTAGTAGGAGTTACCCTACTACTACCACTACATAGTACGTACCTTTATCGGGGTGTATTCTACAAGGTTCTCACCTAAGGTAACTCTACCCAAGTTAGTTAGACTTGGACTGAACTTTGAGCATTGAGCAAGCTATGTAGATTATCAATTAAGTATAGAGAGAGCATAATTGGCAGCAATCTATGGAGTAATTTATTATGTTTTTGTGGGTAAATTCGCAGCTGCCTAGTAGTAGTACTTCGTACGGATAGTTACATCTACTCCAAGGTGTATAGTTTCTGCCCCACCATCACATTGCATCGCCTCGGACCGCACCACCCTTCCGATCTTCCGACTCGGACCCTTTCACAAGTGACAAGGTCTCAAGGTGAGACTTGGGGCCCTCGCGTGCTCCGTTCAAGCTTCTAGTGTGTCCATGGCAAGTCTTAGCGTGCCAGGCACGATTCCTGGTGACACCCTACCGGCCAATCAGAGTCCCCGGATTGACAGCGTGCCACATGGGGAGAGTAAAGATCGAGATCATTGGGTTCATTCCGACTTGATGGAGGGAAGGCATTACACTAATTCCTGTAGGCTGTGACTTTACTGACCCAAGGACCTTGGTAACAGTAAGACGCAATTGTTTTTCAAGTTGTTTTATACCATTCCCCCGCCTGCTTTTTCTCGGTGTTTTCTCTTCTCTCTTCGTATTCCAACCAACCCTACTGTTCCTTGAACGAAGATTATACAATGAAAACCATCGCAACAATCCTCGCCGCTGCCATCTTGGCTCGCGCAGAGATAGCTACCACGTCTTTGCCGCCTCTGTCGGACATCAAGGCTGCTGCCGCTACTACCCTTCCCGAATCCCCTACCTCCGACGTCAAGGGCCTTGCCTTTAACCGGTTTTACCAGGTCTGGCTCGAGAATATTGTACGTCGTACTTGAGATCTGCCGTTTTACTCCCATTCCATTGACAACCAAAACAGGACTATTCCGACTCCGAGTCCGATCCTAACCAGGAGTGGCTGGCCAAACAGGGTATTCTGCTGTACGTGGAAGCTCAATCCTTGTCTATATTTTGTACCAGTATAACCTAACTTCAAACACAGTACCAACTTCTATGCTCTGACGCACCCTTCGGAGCCCAATTACTGTGCCGCTGCCGGTGGTGACACCTTTGGAATGGACAATGACAACTTCAACCAGATCCCTGAAAATGTCTCCTCCATTGTTGATCTTCTCGACACCAAGGGTATCTCGTGGGGCGAGTACCAAGAGCACCTGCCATACCCCGGCTACCAGGGCTACAATTACTCCAACCAGAATACTTATGCAAACGACTATGTCCGCAAGCACAACCCGCTCGTGCTTTACGACTCGGTCGTCAAGAATGAGACCAAGGCTCGCCAGATCAAGAACTTCACTCATTTCGATGAGGACCTGGAGAAGAAGAAGCTTCCCCAGTGGGCTTTTATCACTCCCAACATGACTAACGATGCCCATGACACCAACATCACTTTTGCATCCAAGTGGGAACGCCCGTGGGTCGAGAAGCTTTTGAAGAACGACTACTTCATGAAGGACACTCTACTTCTTTTGACCTATGATGAGGATAAAACGTGAGTTGAACACTTGACCTTCGTATAATAAGGAAAAAAGGCAGATAGTAACTGACTACTGCATCAAATAGCTACATCCATAAAAATGGAAACCGGGTCTTCTCTATCCTCGTCGGTGGAGCGGTTCCCGAGCACCTGAAGGGCACCACAGACGACACCTTCTACACTCATTACTCTACCATTGCCTCCGTCAGTGCCAACTGGGGACTCCCCAGTCTGGGTCGTTGGGACTGTGGTGCCAATCTGCTTCAAATCGTCGCCAATAAGACAGGCTATGTCAACTACCAAGTCGACACAACTAACCTCCTTCTGAACGAGACTTACCCTGGCCCAATGGCAGATGGCGAGTACGCCAAGTTCTCCCCCGAATGGCCAGTTCCTCTGACCAGCGGCAACTGCTCTGCCGGTCACGGTATTCTTGACGCCGTCAAGAAGACTTATGCTGGAAAGGCCGCGACTTATAACTACACCAGCCCTTACCCATGGAACGAGAAGGTCGGTTACAATGATAAGGTCACTGCTAGCAAGTCCTCAAACTCCACATCGGCCTCCAGCAGCCCTTCCGCATCCTCTACGAAGAAGAATACTGCTCCCGTCGTGAGTGTCTCTAGCTCCCTGGCTCTGACCGGAGCTCTGGTGAGTCTTGCCTCTTATTTCCTTTGAACTGTCTGCACGTTGTCGTGACATACTATGGAAACTCCGATACGCACGCAGTTCACAGGATATACGGGACAATGACTCATGCATTCATAGCTCGATGACTTAAAATGTCTCTTTGTGAATTTTGTAACCCAATTTGTTTCTCCTGGCTTTCGTGGGAACGAGGATTAAAAATGGAGGTGTTTATGGAGTTTTTCAACCTTATGAGTTAGTGTCTACGAGTAATGGTTTCATATGCAATCAATAGCTTCAAATTGCGACATTCATTCATAACAGATTCAATAGAGCCAAATCCCACTGGCCTAGAAAAACCCAGCCGAAGTTCCACCAGCCTTGATGATGATCGACTTAGTCTGAACAAAGTTATCAATACTATACAACAAACCTTCCCTGCCAGTTCCACTCATCTTATACCCGCCAAAGGCAGCATCCTTCGCATTTGTCGGGCTAGTACAGTTCACGCCAACCGTACCAGCCTCCAACGCCTTTGACAAGCGAATCGCCCGATCCAAATCCTTCGTAAAGACAGAAGCATAAAGGCCGAACTCAGTATCATTCGCCTTCTTAATCGCCTCCTCCTCCGTCTTGAAGGTATTAATCGCAACCACGGGACCAAAAATCTCCTCACGCATCACCCGCGAGTCCTCGGGGACCTTTTCAAAGATAGTCGGCTTGACGAAGAACCCATCCTTCGCATCACCGCCCACCGTGAGCTCTCCATCCTTCTCGCCAATACCAAGATACTCCTGCACGCGCTTATACTGCAACACGTCAATCTGCGGACCCTGCTGCGTCGCCGGATCAAGCGGATCCCCAAGCGCATACTGCGCAAACTGCTCGCGGAAAAGCGCGGTGAATTTCTCCGCAACGCTTTCCTGTACGTAGATGCGCGAATTTGCGACACAGACCTGTCCGCTGTTGAAACGGATGCTGAATTGGGTCTGGGCAGCGGCGGATTCGAGGTCGGCGTCTTCGAAAACTACGGCGGGTGATTTGCCGCCTAGTTCGGTGTGTACGTGCTTCATGTTGGACTTTGCGGCTGCTGCTTGGATCTTCTGGCCGGTTAGCGATGAGCCGGTGAAACTGATGCATCGCACGTCCATGTGCTCGGCGAGGCGGCGCCGGTTGGGTTTCCGTGGCCGGCAATGATGTTGACGACGCCTGGAGGGAAGCCGGCTTTTTGGATAAGTTTTGCGGCGGCGATGGACTAGATAATTTTGATTTGCCTGAGTTAGTTGTCGTGAATTTATTATGGGGAAGGGAAGGAGTATGCAATAGATCGGCAGGCTTGTGATCCTGGCTGAACATACGGTCAAAGGCGCCTTCTCGCTACTCTTCAAAACAACAGTGTTACCAGCTGCCAGTGCAGCGGCCATTTTCATAGAGAACATCACCAGTGGGAAATTCCAGGGGATGATCATGGCTGCCACGCCATACGGCTCTTTGACAGTCAGACTCAGCAGTCCAGGCGTATGGGTGCTTGCTGTGCCCTGGACGTTCCAGCCTGCATCTGCAAAGGACCGCCACGTATCTGCGGACATCTTCCCATCGACATATTGGGAGATCGGACGGCCCGTACAAAGGGTCTCCAGGCGGGCAAGTTCATCGTTGGCCTCGATGAACAATTCGGAGACTTTGCGGAGATAAGCCCCGCGTGCGTCGACGCCGAGGTCTCGCCATGCGGGGAATGCGGCGCTGGCCGCCGCAACGGCATCATTGACGTCGTTGACATCGGCTTCGTGGACTGTGACTGTTTAGCAGGGGACTCTGCTGTAACGAGCTTGATGATTACTAGTATCATACCCTGGGCTACAACTTCCTGGGTGTAGGGGTAGACGACATCGAAAGTCTTCTTGCTGGACGATTCACGGAACTATGCAGCGGATGGAGTTAGCGTTGGCTGACATTGGGGACAAGGGGGTTATGTATGTAGTAGTATGCACCTCATTGTTAATGAACAAGCGCGTTTCGATAGGTTCTGATCCTTTGGCCGCCATGATGGACGATTGTAGGCAATGCGGTATCAGTATGCTGTGCAAAGACTATGGTGAACCTTTGGAAGCAGAAGATCGACAGAGGGTAGCAGCAGAAAGAGAAAGATTTAAATATTAAACGAAGAACCCCTCAGGCGGAAGTCGGAAGTGCTGCAGCTTCCCCTCCTACCCCTCCACTAGGACTAAAGGACTAGAACTAGAACTTTGCCGCCGTCAGCTTGGCCCCCGGACTTACTGTATCCGGTTCCATCTTTGATCAAATGAAGCTACCACTTCGACAGGGTCCCACTGCAATGGAGTGGTGGCGGTCCCTCATTGGACTGTGGCTGCAGTTTAGCTTGGTTAGCGTCTATCATGACCCTCTTTTACTGTAGTCTGTGGATCCAGGATGGCTGGGGCTTACAGCTTACGATCGCAGAAGCTGCCTGGACTTGAGCTTTGACATCGTACGGAGTACGGAGTTAAGGATTCCTGGTTCAATGTCAGCGTATACCCTTCTAGTACTCCGTACATTTCCTCAATTGGGATGCCTTAAAACGTGCAACTTCGGTTTATGATGATGACAAATGCTTTTACGAGCAGTGGCGGTTAAACGGTAACCTTGTTCGTATTAGGAAAGTGGTATAAATTCCATACGTACGTACCACTATGCTGGTCTAATGCACATGGAAGTGAACACCATGATATACAACATACAATATACAACATACAACATGCTTCTAATAATGTACCATAGAAGAGTAGCATAACCAAGTATAACCAAATCTACTAGTAGTAATAGTAGTAGTTGTAGTATATGGCAGGTGGCAGGTGCCCCAGAGGCACCTTCCACGGCAACCAAATTGAGACCTTCAACCTCATCCAACTTCACTTCTCTCCTTCTCCCATTCACCCATGTGAAACAGAAACAGACAAGTGAAATGACATTTCTCCTTTGTCCCCGTTGGCGCAAATCCCATCCGCCTTCTCCGTCCGGCGTTGCTCGATCCGACCATGATGGCCCACCTGCAGTACAGGAAGACCAGCAAGACGAGGGCCAGGATCTAGGTACGTACGGAGAAGCCCGGCCATAAGGACTTCTTTCATTGGACCAGTCCCTAATCGCGTCTGGTCCAAGAAGCAGCACCCTCTGTCCAGCCCGATAATGCCATCGAAGAAGGTGAAAAACAACCTGAGAGTTTCTCTCATCGTCTGCGACGCCGTTTCTCCCGAGAGTCCAAGACCACCGCTGAGGATCGTGATACCTCAAAGCTCGGGTTTCCTTTCAATCTAAGGTCTATCAAGTCCGCACCCAAAATAGGGTCGAAATTTGGGCAGAATCACACAACGTTGGGCAATCTCGGAAGCAGTTTGATGAGCGAAAGGGCATACGACAGCGATGCACAATTCATTACCACCCCCAGTCGTGCTGGAAACAGCATCAGATCTCCATTGGCGAAGCCCTTCCGAAGAATGGATCTAAGTGATCTGGTTGAGCGAAGTCAGGAACGAGAATCCTCAGATCATCGGAGTGCTGCTGCTGCTCAGGAACGAAACATATCCAGCCTCTCCTACCCATCTACGACTGGGATACATTTTACTATATCTACTCCTACCGCCAGTGTGACATCTTTCCAAGGTCATCTCCGTACACCACAGGACCTTCATCAGGCGCCAAGTCAGCAACTGAATCCTCTTCAAGCGGAATCGGTTCTAGGAGAATACGACATGAACATCACGTCTGCAAGATCCCTCCCAGATCTGACTCTCACCACCCTCGGTCGGTTCCCTCATTTACAGCAACACCCACCACCATCGCCATTCCGCGGCCCAATGGCGATTCGAAGTCCCTGGCTGATTGGAAGCAACTTTTGCAAGAAAGCCACCAGGTGTACAGCGCTGCATCTTCGGAAACTCTGCCCAATCTTTCCACAGATATTTTGGTTAAGAAGAATCGACAAGTACCTGCATCTGCCTCGGTTAGATCTTTCACTGATCCTCGATCAATACACCTTGATGAATTGGGAATCTCGAAACGGCTTGCCTCGCAAACGACAGCTTCCGGCTCGATGCCTCGGTTGATTCACCAAAACGAATTTGGGTTCTTCGTTCCTCCATCACAGGAAAATCTTCATCTTCCCAACAAGTCTGGAGTCTCAGCAGTATCAGATGTTGACTCTCCAACCCCAATCCCTGGAAAGCGTGATTTCTCTTCATTCTACTCGCCACAGTCAGGCTCCATTGCATCTAAAGGGTCTCCTATGAACTCACAGAGAAGTGTGAACAATCTCACTATGAGCAACCCTCAGACCAAGGAGAAAATTCCGAATGAGAGTGAAATTATTCAAAGCAACCAGCTTCACGAAAACGGAGCCATGCAGAGTAAATTCCGCGAGCATTGCGAAAGCCCTGATTCTGAGCAGACGCAATCTCACAATATTCCAAATGACCTTGATAAGGTATGCCAGCCACGCAAGGTCAGCGTCGGTTGGATGTCCGAAGGCCGAAGGGTAGGCTATGGCTACAGTCCAGTGCCCAGCCAGGACGAACCGCAAGTTCAAAATGAGCCAATTTATTATCCATACCGCAAGCCCGAGCCGGAGTCCAAAGCCGAAGTTATGCCGGTCGACTTCAATCAGAACGACTACCAAAAGCCTTTAAAGGATAATTTCGATTCGACGGAAGTTTTCACTCCAGAACTAAGCCCAAGCATGGCTATCAATTGTTCAGATACGAACTATCCCAATCTGCCTCCAATCCCAAAGGCCAAAGCATCCGAATGCCCTACGCCACCATATCTCCAGGCCATGCTTGGAAGTCGCAGAGGTCGAACCGATGACCCTTCATCCGCTCGAATTCGTGAAGGGGGCTTCAGAAGTCTACGGGCCCCAGAACCGCCTCCAATGACCCATATCGAGCACTGTCAAGTCCCAAAAAGCTCAAAGTATAGCAATCAAGCCAATGACTCTTTTGTCCAGCGCTGGCCCCGTCTCAGCCCACCTACCAAACAAGCTGCCATTGTCTCAGGTGATAATGCCGATGACGATAATCCAGGATTTCTTGACCTCGGCGATCAATACCACGTTCAAGAGCCTTGCTCTCTTCAACCTAAAAAATCTCGAAGCGAAAAATGGGTCAGGCGTTTCACTCGCCGCCGAGAAAGCAGGCGTATCTCGAATGCTCAGCCGCAAGACTCTTCTCAGAGTTCCTCGGACCAGTATGAGGATTGTGTGTCGGATGATCCTCAGCGAAAAACAACGGAAGATCTGGCTAGCATGTACCAGGACTGTATTGATATGCCGGGGTCCTTTGATGGTAGCCGCTGGGCGAGTCGGAGAAGCCGAATGCCACTGTGGGATGCGTGCACTGAGGGTCTCTGGCATTCAGCGTGATCAAAAGCGAAAAAGAGGTGTGCATCACGTATATTCAAGTTGAAAGTGTGGTGTTTTTGAGGGTGTATTATCAGGAACTACATCATTATTATTATTCCAGGCGTTAGGAGAAGGGAGATCGGGGGCGTTGTGGAAAGATTGAATTATAGATAACTCCCAGCAGAATGTCATTAATCGTACAGAGGTATCGAATCGAAGGTCCCGGTCCCAGTCCCAGCGCCTAAAAAGTGTAGATATTATACAGTGCAAAGGGTAGAACAGCCAAGTTAATCACTCAACCATCTACCTCCGCTGCCGCTTATTGCTCTTGTCACTAACAGCGCTGAGCACACTAGCCGACCTCTTATGATTACCATCGTCCTTCGCAGCCTCTTCGGCATTCTCACCATCACCACCCTCCCCCTTCTCCCCACCTGAACCCGCCGCTTCAGCAGTAGAACCTAGAACACCAGTGCCATCCTCCGCCTCAGTCTTCACCTCCGGATTCTCAGGATCCGCAGCCGTAGTCTCACCGGCAGCTTCTCTCGCCTTACGTTCGCGCTCCGCCCTGGAAGCTTCAAGAACACGAATCTCGCTCTCAACCTTCTCGGAGACCTTTCGCGCTTCAAGAAGCACATTGACGGACTGGATGAGTTTCTCAAAGTCCTTGCAAACACGCTCGGTAGGCATGAACAGACGCACGGGGATCTCGAGTTCTGCCAGTGCGCCGGCGAGCTTTTGCGTCTGCACGTTGGACTTGGCCTGCGTGAGTTTCTGGGCACGGTCGCTGCGGAATTGGACGCCGGCTGTGACACGCTCGTGGTGCTGAATGCCATACCGGGATTCTTCGGCGGCTGTGAGTTGGCGGACCACGGGCAGGGTTGGGGGAACTGCGGGTCCCTTTTTGTTATTGTTATTCGTCGCGGAGGCGGCGGCGTTGGCACTAGGTGTATCACCGCGGCTGACTGGTCCTCCTGCTTGTGTGGGTGTTTGGCCGGCGGCGGGACTGGCGACAGCGCCGTCGGGGCCGAGGATGGAACGGCGTTTCTTGCTCTTGTCTGCTTGGAGGAGGGTTTGGAGGAGTTGGGAGAGACCTTGGCTGGACTGGTACATGGCGGTGTTTCCGACGCTGACGGGCACTTCGAGGCGGGAGTAGAGTTCGCGGCGCTCGGAGATGAAACTCTGTTCGTTGCTTGTGATGCGCTTGAGTTCTTCCAGTAGCATTGCTTCTTCGCGGACTTCGTCGGCGGTGCGGTTGAGTTGGAGAGCGGCGAGTTCCTTGCGGTCTCGTTCACGGTTCGGGTCAAACTTGAGCATTTTCTCGTGCCATTCGAATTCGGCTTCGGACATTTCGGACGGTGGGTGCTCGATTGCTAGCATTGTTGCGGCGATGAAGTAGTACCGTGCTTTCATGTGCTCCATTGTTCGGACTGTCTTTGCGGGAACAATGGCGTTGCCTTCGGGTTCGGAGTCCATTCGCGGTTGATATTCGTAGCGGTCGGCAATGAGCACCCAGCGTAGGTCGTACTCAGCGACCAGGTCCATCAGATAGTCCGTCTCCTCGCGTGTCCACTCGTTGTTGCGGAGATGTCGGCTGTATTCGTCGTCTGTGTATCGGCGCGGCAGCTGTGCCTTTACATTGTACTTGGCGAATGTGTATTCTTGTTCCAGGGGCTTGGTATCCTCCTTGCCCTCTTCCTTCGTCCCATCCACATCCACATCCATCTGTGTTCCCTCCGGAGCGGGTTGTCGCGCACCCTCATGCTTTCGTTGCCAGTGGTTCAAGACCAGACCGTCTGATCGGGCCCCATTGGCGAAAGGCGACATGCGCCATTGTCGCACGCGTAGCTTGTTCAGCAGTTTTGGACGGCCCTTGTATTTGTTCTCGTTGATCGCAATCGGCGGCGCCCGCTCTCCCAGCAACGCGTACAGTTCACGGGTGATACCCTCTGCCACGGGGGTCAGTTATAAGTCATTCTCTTAGGCTAGATTCGAGGATACACACCTGGTCGCTTCTCAACCACTTTTTGCTTCTTGTGAGGTCTGGGCTGGCTCTCAGCTGGCAGATCCAGCATATCGCGAACATCGGCAGCGGCCGCCATGGCGAAAAGGGTGTCTCGTCAGACACACGGCAAGTAAGCGTAGAGCCGGAGTAGAGATTGAGGGCGAATGGTAAAAATAAATGATAGTCTTGAGGGGTATCTTAGATGAAAGGGGAGACGAGGTCGCCGTCGCGATGAAAATCAAAGGCGCGGCCAAGGGAGGCGGCCGAAACCAGCAGGCGGTGGAGGGTAATGCACCCGCGTGTTGACTTGACCATCTGGCATCGTCAGGAGTATTGGAATGATCGTATTATTCTCCAAGGCCACCCCCAATTAATCCAACCTCAGTCATGGCTTTCCAAGCTTCGCCGTCATGGCTCACGGCTGCTCTGGCCATCTTCTCCTTCTTCTCCATGCTCATCCCCGCCAACGCCCTGTACTTCTACGTCGATGGCCGCCAACCAAAGTGCTTCTTCGAGGACCTACCTAAGGACACCCTGGTAGCCGGTACGATACACCATTTCGCTTCTTCTCAATGCCTCCATAGCATTCAGCAACTTTGACTAACATATTCTTATTTCCAATGAACAGGCAAGTTCGACACCCAGGTCATCAACCCCAACACTGGCGTCTTCGCCGTCGACCACAACCTGAAGGTCCAGATCACCGTGGAGGAGACCTTCGACAATGACCACCGCGTCGTAAACAAGCGCGAGAATCACTCCGGCCGCTTTACTTTCTCCGCCGCCGACGCCGGCCAACACCGTATCTGCTTCATGGCCGACACCGAGGTCGCGACAACCGGCTGGTTGTCCAACAGCCAGGGTGCTGTCCGGGTGACCCTGGATATGGCCATTGGCGAGACGAGCAAGATTGAGACCGAGGACAAGGACAAGATTAAGGATATCGTTCAGCGTGTGAAGGATCTGAACAGCCGACTGCACGACATCCGTCGGGAGCAGGTGTACCAACGGGTGAGTGCCCCCCTCTCTCTACCTTTGTGTTTGACTAGCTTGCTAGGGTCCATTACTATATCTGGACCACGGGCTTTTCTATCTACCTAATGGCGATGCTAATGAAATCATTTACTAGGAACGTGAGGCTGAGTTTCGTGACCAGTCCGAGACCACCAACGGCCGTGTCGTGCGCTGGACTCTAATCCAACTCGCCGTTCTGTCCGCCGCTTGCGCCTGGCAACTCTCGCATCTGCGGTCATTCTTCATCAAGCAGAAGCTGACTTAATGCGGAGCCCTCGATTGGCAGTTGTTTTTTCCCCCACTATTCTGAATGTGTTTTAAGCCCTTTTCTTTAAACTACAACTTGCATCTTGATTCCAGTTCTTGTTGTGCCGCACACGACCAGTTACGCAAATATTGATCATCCGTCCTTATATGAGACATTTGATTCTCTCTTTTATTCTTTTCCTTTTTTTTGGAAGGACGCTGGTGATGCTGGATGCCTTTGCTCTCATCTGACTCGGGCGTTTCTGTCCATGGAGCATGGGGTTTTACACGTTTCACTTAAAAATAGGAAGGTTGTAGCATGTCTAGAACCGCATGGTCAGGGCGATGTTGATTTTGATAATGGATGTAATGACAGATTTTATTTTTATTCTTTTTTTTCATTCAGCTAGCTGTACTTTGTACGTCGTAACTGTAGAACGTCATAAAGGTAGGTATTCCTTGATAGATATATCAGAAAAAATGCCTTTCCCTGGGAAAGTTTGAGGCAGAAGGGGTTGGGGTTGGAGTTGGGGTCATCAATCATTATGCCCAGGGCAACGGATAATAAAAATGTGTAAAGGTGAAAATGCCCAATATGGTATATGGCATGCGAGAGAACAAAAAAAGGGTGGGCCAAAATCAAAACACGCCAAGATGAACAATGACAAGATTTTCCCCTTGCCAGATCATGGCAAAGGTCGTCTCGAGATGCACGGTAGACCTCTTGGGTAACCTGAACAAATAACGCAAAAAAGCAACGCAGGCCGTGCAAAGGCAAAAGCCTCCAAGGGTATAAGGCAGTATTTTTACCAAGAGACCATTCTCAAGAGTTTCTGAAGAAAAAAGAGTAGACATCCTACTTATCAAAATGGATTCCTAATTCCAGCAGTAGGATCACTTGGACCACCGCAGAATCCTTTGATGAGCCTTTCAAGATCGGTAAGTTTGTATGGTTTTGTCATGTAGCCTTTGATTCCGACTCTCGAAGCGCGGTTCAGCGCCTCGTCGGTGACATCGGCACTCACGGCAAGAACAGTGGGAGGCCGTGGTGTATGTGTCGCGCTTATCGGAGGATCCATTTCCATGGTGTCGGGGTTCTCGACGGTAGTCACAGGTTGAAGTCTATGGACAGGGAGAGCAGATTTGGCATGGTGGTCGCTTACCATCTGTAGAATTCGAGATGTTGCCTCATAACCATCCATTTCGGGCATCCAAAGATCCATCAATACTACATCGATCGGCTTGATCTCCGCCACGACCGGCGGAGCAGGCATATTCGTCTCGACGGGGCTAGTTTCTGCTGAATTTGGGGCTGAGCCTGAGGTAGAGAGAATATCTTGAACGATTCGAACAGCCTCCCTGCCATCTGCGGCCTCAAGTACATCGCGATAACCGAGTTTACGGAGCATATTCACCAGGACACGTCGGTTGATGCGATTGTCCTCTGCCACGAGAAAACGTAGGGGATGCTTCTCTCCTAGTTTGTTGTCGTACGTGTCACCAGAAATCTGTCGGCGACCGGGTTGGGAATCTGCCGGCTGTGGGGGAGTTGGGCTCTGAGATGAATGGCCATCGGCAGTGCTTGGGGTCGGCTGTTGCAGCTGGCGGTTTTGAATGACGGAGGGAGACATCGAGGATGAGGACTGGGCTTCCCAGACGAAGCTACTGGCGCTCCCATGTCGAGAGTGATCATTGATTATGGGCGGGGTCATCATCCTCTCATTTGGTGTTCCAGGGCGGTTGCAAGCCTCACGTTGGTTCACGGGGACTCGGATCTGGAACACCGAGCCATGATTGGGCCCGGTTGTCGATGACCTTACACAGATCAGATCACCTCCCATCTTTCTTGAAAGACCCTTGGCCACCAGAAGACCAAGCCCCAGTCCATCTTTGCTGCGAGTGGTCGAGGCATCCTCTCGAGCGAAGGGTTTGAAGAGACTGGGCAGAAATGCAGCTGGAATTCCAGGACCAGTATCACTCACACTAATCAGAACATCGTTTTTCTTCTGATCAACAGTCGCACATACAGCAATTGTGCCGTTATTTGTGAATTTGATAGCATTCAGAAAAACACAAGAAATAAGTTTGGCCAGATCTCGGTCATCTGCAAGAAGGGTGTCGGGTAACGCGGGGTCAACAGACCAATCCACAGTTTTGGTAAAGATCAAGCCGTTCGAGGATCGAGACCGAATCTCAATTTTCTCGCCAAACTCGGTCGCGTGACTGACTGCTGAATCAGGCCGACCACCAACGTGAAGTGATTCGTTGATGACCAGGCGTAGAAGATCTCGCAACTTGGTGAAACGCAAGGCCGAGCTCCTATTCACATTAATGCCTTCAAGGAGCAGATGAGGTGCTGAACGTCGGGCAGAGATGGACGGCCGTGGATCAACCATGTTGGCCATAACCGCTTCTATCTGACGTGCGGGGGTAGCATGAACGATCTGGTCGCTCTCGTGGACGGCGTTCTTAACTTCTTCACTGCGGGGTGAGAGCTCTTGCCGCGAAGATGCTGCTCGCGTTCTCTGTTTCCGGGCAGGCCTAGCGGACATGTCGAGGGGGAGAACTCCGGCGTCGCTTGTACGGATTCACAGCGATGTTACTCCCTTCGATGAAGACGCTCGGTCGGCTTTCCGTCAAGTCCACCGGTGGAATAGGATCCATCAGAATCTCGTTCTCCTGTTCCCGCTGCGGTGTCTTGGGGACTTGCATGTTAAGATCATAAGCATGGACCACATTGTCAGCGGCTTCAACAGCACGCCGGGCACTATCTTGGACCATCTCAATACCTTCCTTCAGGGCTTGAAAGATGCCACCGGACTTCACGGGAGTCTTGCTCTCCATGGCCTCGCGCACCGTGGCATGCATAACATCCAACATGCCGACGACGCCTTGCATCGGGGTTCGTAGCTCGTGTGATAAACTGCGAGCGTATGGTTTCAGGGGTTGTGAGTTAAAATCGGGGGTGTTGGGTTGGTGGCCATTCTGCGAAGCTTGGACGGTCGCAGAGTGGACCTCGGGAGTCTCAGATTTCTCATGGTCGGGGGCGGTTTCTTGCAAGGACAGATGTTGAACAATCAGGTCCTCCAGGGAATGCAAGATGACTTCAAGAAAAGACCATGAGAGATTTCGGTTTTTGAGTCCTTCTTTGGACCACATCAAGCCCAGGTGCGCCCGGCACTTGCCAGCCGAAAAAAGTGGGATGGCTAGATACGCCTCCGCACCAAAGGGCAACTGATCATCTCCAAAGGAAGCCAAGGATTTGAGGTTTTCAGGGATCAAGCACGGCCTTTCGTGATCCATATGCAGCAGAGGATTCCCGCCAGCGAAATACCGGTCGCGCTGGAGTCCCACGTTTTGGTAGCCATCGTTGTAGTAGAATGCAGCACCGAAGAGGTTAGGTCGTCGACCGCCCAGCTCGGGCATGGGCTCACCACCATGGACACGACGGGCGACAAAGCCATATTGAGCCTTGCTGATGGAGGTGATATCCTCCATGAGCCGTTTCCAGAACAGCTCGGTGTCGGAGGTCCTCAGGCCCTGCTTGAGAGTGACCAGATGTTCGATGGCGGCAGATTGAAGACCGTCATTCCAGCTTCCGGGGGTTGAATTGTATTGCATTTCACCATCCTCGCGTACGGTAGCGAGACTATCGGCGATGCATTCGGACTTGCAAGAGGGGAAGGGCATGGCGGGTCGAGGGTGAACGGGGTTAGAGACATCGGACTCGGGGGAGTCGGACATAGTCCATGTGGAGGAGGGAGGTTGAGGTACGATCACTTGGTTAGGTCGTCGGGAGGGCCAACACCATGGCTGGAACTCGCCGAAGGATCGAATCGAAAGAGGATTGAAGGTTCGAACTTGAGGAAAGTTACAGGTGAAGCAGGAGGGGGTGGGAGAGAGGGGATTTCCGGGCTGAAGCGATGGGGCCACCGGGCGGTCTAGACAACTGGGCTGAAACAGGAGAGTTCGTGGGTCAGGACAGGCACTGATCAGGGTCTGGCTATGGTTATGACCAGGTGTCTATGGGTATACTCCTATGGAATAGAAGTTGAAGATCCGGTCTTTTGATGGGAGAACCTAAAATGAGGATCTAGGATATAGGAAATCAGCCCAAAGTACTTGAACAGAGGAGTCTCGCTTGACAGGGGAAAAAAACACTGCACGATCGGCGATCTAGACCGGCCCTCGTGCATGAGGGCTGCGTGTACAGTCCAGTCCAGTGCCAGTGCCAGTACGGAGTACCCTTTCCACTGCCACTCCCCTGCCCGGTGGCTGTCGGCCCCCAGACTTTGGAGTCTTTGGAGGCATGAACCCCTGCAGCCTCGTTTGTTCGTGACTCCCTATTGGCTTTGTTTTACGGCAGCTGGTTACCCCAATTCAAGTTCCCCTCCCCATCGCCTTGGGGGATCTATCATCTCACTAAGAGATTGTTCATAGTATCCACCGCTCAGATCATTGAATACATCTGATTTATCTCAGTAGTACCTATTGTACGCATGTCAGTACTGCCAGTGTACATGTACATACTAGTGCTGGTCGGAATATGCATACACCATATGTACATATATGCAGGAGGATTGGAAGCCGGCCTATCCTATCATTTCAATTCCTCGGCAAATCGGATTACTCAACGCAGGGTCTAGCGTGGTCGATCGATCGTTTCCGTCGCCTATGAGAGTCGTCTATCTCATCTGTGTACATATCTTGGATCCCGATAGCCCTGGTGTTGCATGCGCGGGAGAATGCTCGATCGTGTTTCCAACCTTGGAAGTTGAAGGTTCCGATAGGTCCTGGGCTGGGCTGGGCTGGGAATATATAGTACTGTAGTAGTACAATAGCAGGGCACCAGTCTATACCGTCGTGACCTCTTTGGCAATATTCAACTTGAGTTCTTTTATCTCTCCTTTAATTACCAGTATTTCTGGGAGCTCACTGACAAACCTTGGAAGGCATACTATGTAGTAAGAACTTGTTGTTACTGGTACACCGCTTGGTGTGACTAGCAAGCTATCCGTACTACAAGTAGTATTTAGTCATGCCCTCTCTGGAATGAACCACCTGATCCTACTCGTATCAGACAACTTGAAAGGAAATTTCCCCTTCGAGGACCCGATAGATTATGTGGAAATAAATATTCATACTACTAGTAGGAGTAGTATAATATGGCAGTTACTCATACTTATACCCCGCAAGCACCGGCGACTGTGAAACCGAGGCAGAGCCCCACCAATCATCCCTTAAGGACAAGCTACACCGTGCCATACTAGAACTATCAGCTCGTGCTATAAAACACCCTCCCTTCCTAGAGAGAACTTAGAAGCTTCTTACTAGCAAGGAAACCCCCGAGACTTGCACAATGAGCAAAACCACCCCCTTCTCCATTAGTGTGCCAGACGCACAACTTGATCAACTACGTCACAAGCTCGATCAAACTACCTTTCCCGATGAAATTGACGCGGTGGGCTGGGATATGGGTGTCCCACTCGAAGAAATTCAGAGACTGATTACCGTTTGGCGGGATACTTTTGACTGGCGGGCGCAGGAAAGGAAGCTTAATGAGCAGCTGCAGCAGTTCACAGTGACCATCTCCGTTGATGGATTCGGGGAATTGGAGATTCACACTTTACACCACCGAAGTGGGAATCCAAATGCGATTCCTTTATTATTCATACATGGGTGTATGCTTGTTACCTACCTTCACCACTTCAAGAATCAGAAGTTCATGGGTATCATGGCTAATCTGGTCTCCAATACTAGGGCCCGGTAGCTTTCTAGAAGCAACAAAGTTGATCCCATTGCTCACAAAAAATGGCGAAGGACCGGTCTTCGATATCGTTGCCCCCTCGCTGCCAAACTTTGGATTCTCCCAAGGCGTGAATCAGGTATGCTCATCATGAGCCCATATCCTCCTGCCAGCTCAACAGAGTCTAACCAGAAATCAGAAAGGATTTGGATTGGCCCAATACGCCGAGGCTCTTCACAAGATCATGGTGGCACTAGATTACGAGGAATATGGTATCACTCCTTTCCCACCGCCGCAGTATATCAGGAAACATCGCTAAACTAACACAATCAAGTGATCCAAGGAGGCGACTGGGGCAGCATGATCGCCCGTACTATGGCTCAATACTACGCCCGACACATTCAAGCCATCCATCTAAATTTCGTCCCCGTTAAGCCTCCATTCCCTTGGAAGAATCCAGTCCGTTTCCTGCAGTCTCTTGCGAGTGTGCCCTTCTCTGCAAAAGACCGTGCATGGATTGCTCGTTCGATGGACTATCTCCTTCGCGGCAACGCATACATGAAACAACAAGAAACTCGACCACAGACCCTGGGGTATGGGTTGAGCGATAGTCCAATTGGACTGCTGGCTTGGATCTACGATAAGATGAATCTGTGGTCTGACAATTACTCTTGGACCGATGAGGAGATCTTGACCTGGGTAAGCGTGTACTATTTCTCGCGGGCCGGTCCTACAGCCTCGACGCGTATCTATTATGAGGCTTCGGCGCCAAAGATTGATCCCTCGGTATCCAAGGGGAGAATGGAGGAGGGGCTGCTGTTAACTATACATCGCTTGACGATATCATGACTGCCTGTGCACCGTCCAATGTGCGATTCGCGGTCGCTCAATTTCCCAAAGAGCTCATCATGTGGCCGATGGCCTGGTACCATATCATTGGCAATGTGGTGAAGGAGAAGGAGTTTGATCGTGGTGGTCACTTTGCTGCCTGGGAGGTTCCTGAGTTACTTGCAGGTGATGTGAAGGAATTCATGGGAAAAGAAGGATCGGCCTATGGCGCGGTTCAGGGCAAGGAAGGTTATTAGTAGTCTTGGGATATTCGAAGATGCGACGTATTGGAGGAAAAGATATTTCAAAATATGGAAGGGAATACATGGACACTATTATGACGTGAATGACGGGGGCTTGTATTATCATGATGGAAGTATTGAGAAATACATGGCTACAAAACGAAACCATAATTTCGAATGTCGATTGTTCTCGCGCCAAAGTTGCTATTCTGACCATGGTTAACCGTCGACGGCACATCATTCAGTGAAGACCAGACGCCGAAATCTGCCCTCAACCCAGCAGAAAGCCCAAAGAAACCAATTTCATCAGTGTATCCTTTCTTAATCCTGTCGTCCCTTCAGTAACCGCTGGGTCACCTTGTCCTTCTCTATGATATAAACCTGGGCACCCCAACCGGAGAGGGCGTCTCGGTCCACAGCAGCCAGGAGTGCTTGGGAGATGGTTTCAAAGAGATCCTCGGGGGACTAAAAGTGAAAACACACGTTAGGATCAAAGACAAAGCCCTCGGGAAATATAATAAACTTACTAGATCCGGCTCCCACAGACCCTCGCAGGTACCGAACAGCTGCTCGCTAGCTGTTCCGCTAACGATGAAGTCCTTGGCCAAGTCGATACAACCGATGCTGTCGAAACCGCAAATGAACGGCTTTCCAGTCGTTTGGTTGATACCGGCAATCACAGGACTGATGAAGAAAGGACCGAAACGCTTCTCGTACAGCGATGAGCTGACCAGGTTGGCCAAGGTCTGGGGTGCGATATTGCGCTCCTCGCGCAGGCGATACATGTTCACCTTATAGCGGAAAAGATCAGAAACGGTATTGACATCGGTGGCGAGACCGGTCAGGCCGAGATAGGTTGAAGGTGCGTAGTTGAAGATCTTGGGGAAGTTGTTGGAAACTGTCAGGGCTTGCATGCCCAAGCGGAGGTCGCAAGCGATAGCGACACAGTCCTTGCCCACCATGGCGACGCAGGCACCGCCATCTATGTAGAAGTCAGTATATCGGTCGATTGTTTATCTAACAAGATGGTCTGTCGTACTGATGTCGAAGGGGGAGCCCTGATGATGGAAGGAGGTGGTTAGCTTGAGGTCCAGCGGTAACGGTCGAAGTCCGGGACAGGGACAGATTTCCCTACCATTGTTGTGGTTTCTTTTGGATCAATCCAGTCGGTCGGTCAAAAAATCGGGCTTCAAAAAGAAGAAAGAGCTAGAAAAGAAGGTCTGGTGGTGGTGGGAGGTCGGGGGTGGAGATGGGGGGAGGTGAGGTTGATGACGGGGGAGCTCTGAAGGACGCGAGAGCAGCTCGGATGACGCCGCACCGCTGCCTGTTTGGTCGATCTCGTCCTTCGACTTCGTTCCATTTCACCCCACACTTTCACCCTCTCCGATTCCCACGAAGTTACTCTACCCATTTCGATTTTTATTCTATTTTCATTTTTGATACCAAGTCCCTACGGGCTTAAGCTTAATACAGTGCGACCATGAGTGCCCACGTCGTAGTGATCGACGCGACGGCCAGGCGGGCAACGGTCAAGACGACCCCCTCCAAACAGATGACAGATATATTACAAGAAGCATGCAGGAAGCTTGGATATAACTCGAGTCAATACGGACTGAAGTGAGCCCACAAAGACCCTCTTCACAGTCCCTTCATTAGCCATTCATCCTCAATACTAACTAATCTCATCTCGACAAGGCACAATCGCAGACAGTTAGACCTGTCTCTGACCTTTCGTCTCACCGGCCTAAGTACAGGTGCGAAGCTCGAACTTGTACAGGTATCTAAATCTCCTTCGGTCGTCACAGTTGCTCTCCAACTCCCAGAGTCCGAAGCCCGCGGGGCACCTAATGGTCGTATATTGGACAAGTTCCCGAGCACAACAACTCTTTGGCTGGTACTACGCAAATTTGAAGCAGGCGTGGCAGGAAGTGCGTCGGTGAGGAACCTCACAGCTCGCGGAGTGCCAAGCGCTTCGGCTGGAGACGGCGATTCTGCACGTTTGTTCTATGAAAGCCCAGTTCTTCAGATTTTGGACCGTGAACTGTCAAGCTTTACCGACCTTCAAAAATCACTGGCGCAACTTGGAATCAACAGTGGTAACATTCTCATGAGATTGAGCTTTCGACGAACGGAGGAACCTATAGAAGAGGCGATGATTAAGATTGGCGAATACTTCAAGGCATCCGGGGATGATACCCCGGCCCCAACTCCGAACCAACAACCCGTTCCATCTGCCGCAGAGGGACAGAATGAAGATACGCCGGAACCTGCCCAGCCTGAAACTTCCAACCAGTCAGCTACGCCTGTATCAGCTGGGCAAGATGAATCACCTTCCGAGGCCCCTCCTGTACAACCCACTTCAGCTTCAACCTCAGGCCGATCAATCACTGTCTTCTCCCCACCGTCAGCAGATACACCATCATCTGCCCAAATACCCTACAACGAAGCAGACTATATCCCCTCTGTGGAGCACGCAAAAGCCCATCAACGACAACTGAATCAATCCTCTCGCAACCAGCGTCTTCTTACCGATGCCGAGCTTGCTGCTAAAGCAACTGCAGAGGAGAAACGACGCTCGGAGATCCACGAAGTGGACGTGAAAGTACGCTTCCCAGATCAGAGCCAGGTGGTATCTAAATTCGGACCTGAAGATACTGGAAAGTCGCTCTATGGATTCGTCCGTAGCTGTCTGGGTCCAGCATACAAAGGCGAGAAGTTTGGTCTTAATGTATTCGTCAATGCGACACTGGGGCGCCCTGGACATTCAAGAGCCATCCCCGAGTCTGATAAGCGCTTGATCAAAGACTTGGGGCTGGTAGGTCGTGTACTTGTCAATTTCACCTGGGCTGATGCTACAAGTGAAATTGCCCAACATCGCCGCGCGGATCTTCTACGCCCCGAGCTTCTTGACCAGGCCCGTCAAATGAAGATTGAACAACCTTCGGACATTGCCGAGGAACCTGCAGCGGAAGCCTCATCCTCGAAGGCCACGGCTTCTAGTGGATCTGGGGAAGCTACGAAATCCTCCGGTTTGCGGAAGAACGGCGGTGTGCCTAAATGGTTGAAGTTACCTGGAAAGAAATAAGCCACTCGGACGAGCTGAGTATTTCTATGAGTGATGTGGATGATATTGAATGACACGTGACTGAGTGATGACCTCTCAATGCATTGATTGATAGACCCGCAAGCCAGACTTGGCTGGATGAATGTAGTATTTGAGAAAGATCAGTTACTGAGATAAGAGTCTAGCCATTTCCTGAATAGAAAGAACCATATCGAATGAACCTCCACGATGCGTATGCTTACATTGACCGGATTCTAGTGGGAGTGACGACTTGTCGTGCAGGGTCCAGAACAAAGGAGAGCCCAGGGCAAGCCTTTAGGAACAAGTCCAGACCATGGGAGTGCAGTCTCCAACGTAACTACGAGTAGCATGCAAGATATGAATGAATTGAACAAAATAGTTTTCATTATGGTTTCTCTTCCTAGTCAAAGGGAAGGGATCCCACTTTTGCCATCCCCATCATCCACCGGAAGTCACAAAAAACCCCATGTATTCCGATTCGCAAGGCCATGCGCTAATAGGCATATGCGAAGGCTTTCTTTTTTCATTCGTGTTCCCTTGCGCGCGCCAGGTATTCGAGTCGTTATTCGAAGATTGGAAAAAAAGTTTTAAACGGAATGGAGCATTTAGTGGCCCTGGACACGGCGGGCCTCGGCGATGACGCGCTGCATGTCCTCAACCTTGCGCTTACCGCGGACGAAGGTACCGAGCTGAGTAGATATGTTAGCGTTGGGGTTCGCTAGGGAATGATTGTGCTTGTATGTTGCCGGATCGAATGTGGCACATGTGATGGAGAAGATCTCTGAAGGGGGTAGACGAAGCGCAGGAATCATGTGGAACAGCCCGTTCTGATTTCAGATATTATCCAAAACCGAGCGGCAAGTTCCCGGAAATCCATTGCATTCTGCACTTCCGACAAAAATCGTCCACCAGGTGACTAATTCGATCGACAAATATATCAAGACGGGGCAGAATAGACGTACGCGCTTCTTAGCGAGCTTGCGGGCACGCTTGTCCTGAGTGTTTCTCAGGAGCTCAATGATGCGGCGCTCATAGGGGGCAAGGCCAACGACCTCACGGGCAACCTCACGGACGAACGCAGTGCGGCGAGAAGACTGGCCCTTGGTACGGCTGATCTTGTTCTTGGGGGTGTTGAGGGGAGTGGTTTTCTATAGTGGAGCAAAAGTCAGTCCATCTGAAAAATTCAAGATCCGTTCGCCATCATGTCGATCCCTGGCACTATCTGGTCTTTTCGCTGTCGGTATTGTTCACTCGTATTTCGAAGTTGAGCCGTGGGTTCATGTCGATGGTTGTGTTTTGCTTCCTTCTCCATGCTCGTCTGATCAATCTTGAAATTTTGCTCCACCGCAATTCTCCTCGATTGTTGCTGCGTTCCTTCTCTTTCCTTGACCTCTAGCGCACTGCGGCGGTCCTATTTGATCCCCTTGACGACTGCTGAACAGACTGGCGACCATTTGATGGAGAACCCTCGGCTCGAATCGACTGGTGAAAAAAACTTCGATCGGAAAAGACCAGACGACGGGGTGACGGGATGACGGCAGGGGATATATGGGATGCACGTACGTGGCCACTGTTGGTGCCAACAATGATACCGGTGCGTTCCTGGGCCATTTCGACGGTTGGTGGCTGGACGGGTTGGCGGTGGTTGTCGTAGGAAGGGAATGAAGACACTCGTGTGGAAATCCCCTAGTCTTTGCGGAACCGCACAATCGGAGTCTTGGCGGGCGTTGGTCCGTAGGCGAAGGGTTAGGGCTTAGGGCAAGTCAGCTGCCGCTCCCGCTGCTGCTCTTTCCAGTCACCAGCCACGTGATGAGAATAGACTACCGTGGATCCCTGTTCTTAAATAGGATTAGCGTATGTCGCGATAAGATGAAACTTTAAGGTGCTCGTACACTAGCTCCCTGCCCGTTAACGAGGTTCGTCTATGTCAACATATAAGAGAGCATCAATGATTACACTACCGGAAGTGATCCTTCAGGAACTACTAGGCCCTAGATAGAGTAGCACTAGTATTGGAATAGTTATTTTTGTCTCTGCCAGTTCTTTCATGCTTCTTGTCAACATGAGTCAAAATCATTCAACTACATCCAAACACGCTCACAACTTGACCGCCATCACACCTTCGAGCGCGGATGACCAGCTCTCCATCAATGTGTGACAGGAAATTTCAAGACTAGACATGTCCAAGCCCTTATCGAGGGTATCCTGTAGCTCCTGATCATACTTGCCAGACTCATTCCCATACAAAATCGAGTCTACCAACAATCCAAGCAGGCCCGGCGCAAGAATATGCGACTTCAGAGAGCGCGTGTTAGCGCGAATCAGTTCAAACACTTCAGGTACGAGAGCAGATAATCGCTCAACGCGCTCCTTGGGCAACTTGACTGTCTTGGATACCTTCCGAGAGGCCAGAGAAGTCAGCTGCGATGCTGCCTTGAGAGACTCGAGAATCGTAAAAACGGAAATGCAGATATCTCCAAGTAGGACCAGCTGGAGTCGCGGGTTGGAGATATAAAGCAGTCCTCGTGATCAGAGGGGAAACCTTCTTCTCATCAAGGGTAAGGTCACTCTTTTTCAAGTTCAGCCAATCCTCCAACTTGCCGAGTGCATTGTCAGCCTCCTCGGACGAAGTAGCCTTCGAGCCCGCCATGAAGGTTGCTACCTTGAGTAGCTCCCAGTTAATCAAAGCTATTTCTTTCTCGATAGGTGTTTGATCCGCTGCGGTATCAGAGGGTGTGCTGGCCGCGGTCAGATCCATCTCAGGGGTTAACGGCCGCTGCACGGCGACTCCTTTCAACACGCTAAACAGTTGGTCTGTGACCTGGGCTGCGGCCAACCAGTTTGTCTAAACACGATAGTTAGCTAACAATTCCGGAACCCCATCGATATCGTAGGTAGCATACCATCGGCTTTGGGCCTACTCGTAGCCGCTCTTCGAAATCAGGTTTGCCAGGGAACTCGCAGTTCATGTAAACCGATGAGTCACGTTGATCCGCAGCTGGAGAGGTATCGCGAGCTATTTTGAATCAGTATCTGCACGAGTATTTGAGAGACATCGTTAAAACTAACCAATTTTATCCCACATTACGGTGGAGTCCCCTCCAACCAGCCGTTGTGCGCGACGAACGTCCAAGGCATACATTCTGCGGCAGATGCTCTTAGACAAACGGCGCCCAAGCTCAACAAGCTCTTTGGTATGCACATATGCGCCCTGGTTCAGGCCACTTGTTCGGTATCTCGATGTGGAAATTTCGGCGCCACGGTAAAACTTGAGACCTGCGACCAATGCTGATTGCGGGTCAAAATCCTTGTACTCTGCGCCTTCAATGGGAGGAGCAGAATGAGGGTGGATGCTTGCAAGACGGGTGAAGAAATTATGAGCAACGGATTCGTATTGCATGTGTTTGATGGACATTTTACTGAACATGCTCAATGCCATGGAGCCTGCCCCAAGAAGAGAGTAAATTCGGAGCAGGAAGAGCTGGGCAGGATAATTGTGTGGTGAGCTTTGAATTAGATGCTCTAATATCCCAGAGGCCCGAATAAGAGCCGTCTCGGGAACACGAGCCTGGTTTTGTTCGGTGCTTTCTGACTGTAGGATGGCCATAGCTGCGAGAAGGCACAAGTCATCTCTAGGCTGGCTCTCGATTGTGGCAGAGTTGTTGTCTGTCGATTCCGTTTTGGTTTGGCGAGAGCTATCATAGAGTTTCATGCATCGCGCAACAAATTCCTCGATGGTTTTCTTTGATGCGTTTTCGGGGGCTGATATACACAGACAATATTCCAGTTTTAGAGCGTTTATTTCGGGTACTAGTGTCTAGAAAACACTTAGTTTCGATCAGGCAACGATTGATTAACACGGGAACTTACCTTGCCCCCTTCCTTGTTGTCTCGGATATATTTGAGCATCTTCTCCATGCCCTCTCTGTCCTGTCCTACAAGCTTTCGAACGTCTTGGAAGGCATAGAGCTTATGGATATGGTTATCGATGAAGTGCCGGCAAACAGCAAGCCCGTCCTCGCCGCTCTTTTCCAAACCACAGTTGACAATATCAACACGAACTAAACAAGCATTTCGAGATTTAGGTGCGAACTCGAGGAACTGATCGACCAGTTTTAATGCCTCTTTGACGATTCTAGTGGGTCATATATGGTCAGTCCGGCGTCGGGAATTTTTTTTTGAAACTCCATGCACTTACCCAGGTCTTGTCGAGTTTGAGGTTGCCTCGTACAACAAGTTCCATAGATTCCAGTCGTCAAGCTCCAACAACTGTTTCCGGCCACGTTCATCTTCGCTGGGAACCGTCAAAAGGCTTTGGACGAAAGTAAATGCCTCATCCCACATATTGCCTGCACTCGCAAAACTGGCCATCTTGAGACCGATGAACGTCGAGTCGCCCCGAACGATTCGGGAATGAATTCCGAGGTTTTCACTGTCTAGTATTTGCAAGGCTTCCTCATGGCGACCCTGTGATGTCAGGATTTCAATGAGCAGACGAAGCTCTTCCGGCTTTTGAATAGCTCTAGGCTGGCTCAGGAGATCTGTCTAGAATGGACGAAAGAGGTCCATGTTAGATATGTAAAGCCGAGGATCAAAGAATTAAGCTTACCGGCTCAACAGGAACATCAGCCCCCGCCTTGGAAATCATGCGGTATGATAAGGTTCCGAATAGCTTCTTTTCCGCCTCGGAGCTTTCATCGTCGACTGCCACCATATGCGTCAAAAATATGGCCCAGAAATAATATGCCCGGTTCTTAGGGAAGTTCTTTTGGAGACTCATAGCGGCCTGACGAGAAATCCACCACTGGTCAGTATTCTGAGCGAAACTTTTGGATAATGCGATCCTTTGTTCAGACTGACCTTCTGCGCCGACTTCCAATCGGAATTTTCATAGGCAAAGTTGAACCATTTCGTCTGAAGGTTCAAGTCGCGAGGGCTCGCTTTCGCTGCCCTTTCCCGAAGACTATTCCTGACATCCCGATATCCTTCCAATCTTTGAAGCGATTCGAAGAGAATTTCTAGAGTTTCTATTTCGGTGATAGCTGGCTCCGCATTGCATAACTCGAGTGTCTCGGTAGTACCGCGCTGGCGATGGGTTTCATCCGCATGTCTGAGGAGGATTTGTGCTTTCCATGCCTAGAGGACATGTTCTTAGCCACATTTGGAGAGGTGCTGGAATTTAAAGTCGATGAAGACAACATGAGACTCACCTTTAGAAAACGAGTATCCTCGCCCTTCTTCATGCGCTTCTCAATGAGCTGCAAGGCTTGCTTCAGATTCTGCCCGTCAATAGCATCTTGAATCTGGTGATTGCGCCGGGAAAACACCTGGTCATTGGCGGGCACCATGGCGACAAAATTCCGACGGGACTATGATTAGCCAGAAGAGCACAACAGACGACAGTTTCCCGTGCTGGGACACAGCAGATCAGCTTGGACGTGGGGGAGTACAGGTACTTTTCGTGGTCGGCGTTGGCGGGGAAGCAATTCACACAAAGGCGGTGTGTTATTGGTGGGGGAAGGCGCGAGGCATTGTTATCTACTACTACTCTAGTACTACCAGTCACCATCTAACTAGTACTCTCTATTAGAGTCTTCCATTGAACTTCCAAGGTTCAAGTTCCAATGCTCCGAGTGCGAGTAATACTACTAGTACTTCACTGCCTGCTGTTTGGATTTGTTGGGAATTTACCCATCCTGCTTACCATTACCAGTCCTTGTCGTTATCCGAACTATATAATTACCTAGTAATACTAGTAGTATGTCAGGGTTCAAGTTCTATTGGGCGCAGATATACTTCCGACTTGAGTCATGATCATGCTGGCCCTGGTGAGCTTCCAAGGTTGAAATTGGGCCGATCAGAATGGATTAAATAATAATAATAACAAAACAGAAAATGATCAAGGATTATACAAAAGGCTCCTCGGAATTTCCTCGGACGCCTTGAAGGCCACAAATTGTCATAGAAGATCGCTCAGAAAATATGATGTGCTTGTCAAGGTATGGGCATTGCGAAAAATGTCGAAGCATGAGCAGACTTGCTTAGTTCTTACGAGCAGTTGCAGTCCATGACTCATGGCCCTCGCAGATCAAAATTGGTGTATATCATTTGGTTGTACCTCAATCGGACTGGTTGATTCCTTTCTTCTGATTTAACTGTTGTTCGATTAGCAAGACGAATCAGGTTCGAGGGATAAGTGGACTTACCCAGTTCTTTTTGCAGTCACGATATGCTCTGGAAACACAAATGATCAGCACGGGTTCTTTGACAATCAAAGATGACGACAGGAAACCAAGGCGAAGACAAGAACTCGAGCCAAGATGTGTGCTGAGGCAATAACTCTGAAGGAGAGAGGCAATAACTCGAGAAAAAAAGAAGAATAAACATACTGGAAATAGTCACCACACATCTCGCGATCAAAATTGTTGCGCTTCAAGCACTTTAGACTTCGGTCGGCGAAATCTTGACAGGGGTCGTAGAATTCGCTCGCTGGCTTACTAGAATCATAAAGTCAGCATTCTGTTGGCTTTGAAACCAATAGGACGACATGGTGAGGGGATTGGTGCAGACAGAGACACGTTAGTTGCTCTGGAATCTTGCCCGCGCTGGCCGGCAGCGCGGCGCGGGTCCCCTAGGAGCTCTCACTGTCACGGAGTAGCAAGAGGAGGCTAGGTCTTGCTCGGGATCCTAGGCAAGGGACCCCGAGAAGAAAGATATACTCACTGTGTAAATTTGCGCTCTGCTTTCTTCCAGGTCTTCTCGGGGCCTTCCTCGGGCGTGGATCCTTCCGGCATGATTGCTCTGGTTTCGATGTCCTTGATCTGACTCGAGAATAGAAATGGGGAGGAGAGGGTCTTCAACGGAACGGCAAGAGCTCCACAAACCGAGACTCAGATGAATTGTTGAGGGAGGCTGACGATATGCCGAGGATTGATTGGAGATCGGAATGTCAATCTTGCTCCGCGAAGAAGTGCGGATCCGGTCTTGGCGTGGAGCCGCAGCTAGCTAGTACTGTATGTCACTTCAGGTGAGGATGCTTAGATACTCACAGACCAAGGTATACGTAGATACCATTCAATGTAGTAGTATGGGAGCGGTTTGACCAAAGCAATAACTTGAGTAGTAGTAGTAGTTGAAGAAGAAGGAGAAGAACAAGAGATGAAAGCTAGGTACAGGTTAAGCCTAAGTTGATGCCATCCACGTAAGGCATCAACAATACAAGTAACAACGTGAACCCTGGTTCATTATACTTTACATACTATTACTAGTAATCTTTCCTCTTGCAGATTATGATTACTGATATGACGAGTAGGAAAGATAATTCGGGGTTTGATCATCCACGTGAAGAAAGGAAGACGACTGTTTAATATGTGAATACATTCCTGAAGATTTTAAGGTACAGCTTCGAAAACAGCGGAGCATAGACTATGATCATTGAGATCCTATTGAGATATGCCCTGTTATTCAGATTATCACGTGAATCAATGCATCACATTACACTGCATACTGTGTCCGAGTGTTAAAAAGAAAGGCTTATTCTAGGTACGCAGTAATGTTATCGGTGTATGGTCATTCGAACTTAACACTGGAGGCCACAATAAGAGCTGAGTGAGATCAGATAATATAGTAGTATGAACATAAAAACAGTAAGTGACAATATTCAAGGGACTGAGATCCTTCATAGCCATTTTCATTGAATGATAAGCAAGATGACGCAGGTCACATGTTCCTGTCCAGGAACCGATGACATAATCTTGTGCCTGAGGCACTGGTTGATTATTGACAGCTGCTTTGTTTCCCCTGTTAGCTTTCTAGGATCGGAGAGAATTTCTAGAACCAAATCGTTCTGTATCGCGAGACTATATTTTCCACCCCAAAGCCCATTTGACCTGCCTTTTGGTTGGGACCGCCTGATGGTACGCATTTAACCGCGGTCTTCGCCACTTTTGGGAAACTTTTCCTCTCCACCCCCACCGCATCCTCACGGGTTTCGCGCCACGCGCCATAGCGTTGTCAACGCGACATTATACATGCTCGAGCCGCAGTCAAACTGATTGTGCATAACAACGGTCTTCCAGACCTGCGAAATGGCGGGTGGAAGCGATATTGGGACAGAGATATCTCTGGGTAGGCTTCCTCTGGCCGTTGTCAGGACCACAGGATCAATCGCTAACGCGTCTATAGCTTGTCAATACTTTACAGGGACATGTCGATGATATCCGAAGTCAACTGCAATGCGGTATCTGCATCCGTCCTCTCTACGAGCCCTTCACTCTTGCCTGCGGTCATACTTTTTGTTACTCGGTATGTTCTCCATGCCCGTTCATTACCGACAATGAGGTTGCTAATATTTACAGTGCTTGGACTCATGGTTCGCTGGGGGTAAATCCAAGAGAACATGTCCGGATTGTCGAGCACCCGTCAAAACACAGCCTGCGCCTGCATACCTAGTATGTACCCGCTGGGAGATGTTTTGGTATACAACGCTGACATTTTTTTGCTATCCTTAGGTACGGACAGTGGTGCAGATGTTCACGAGCCGCGCGGAGCTCCTCGACAAAGGCGAAACTACAGCAGATCACTTATCACATCGAGAAGAGGAGTCTGGGAGACTGGATAAAGATAAAGCGAACACGGATCCGCAACACGGAGGTCTTTTCAGAGGCCTGTTTAAAGAGAAAGTGCAAATACCGCCGCCTGTTGCCGATTTGGATGATGGAGTCATGCGCTGTCCAATATGCAGCTGGGAGCTTGGCGAGGATGAGTCTTGCGCGGGCTGCGGATACACATACCCGGAGAGTCGGATGGAACAGACTACACGGACGAAGACTCAGATGATCTCAGCGGCACAGAGAACTATGATTCACTCATAGACGACGAAGCCGACGATGACGGATTTGGAGATATTGAGGATGACGATCCGGTTTGGGGAGGCTTTGCGCTCCCAGGCTCTTTCCCGCGGGATCTCGGAGCCGCTCCTCCTGCTGGAATATCGTGGCATGATGGCCTCCCTCCTTTCTACCAACCGGGCGCTCCGTGGCCGCCTAGGGGGTATGAACATGCTCCCCTACCTCCTCTACCTCCTCCACCCGGGGTCATACTTACCGATCCGAGCGAATATGACGAACACTACATCGATGAAGAGAACGAGTACGATGAGCAGGATTCATTTATCGACAACGAGGAGCATATGGACCGCGAAGACGATGACTCTCAGTCTGAACACTCGACAGTGATGGAATCTGGCGATGGCTGGCAGGCTGGGAATTCACGAAGACCCATCGTTCTTGATGAAACCATCTTAAGTGACGACGAGGAAGAAGAAGATGATGATGATGACGATGAAGACGAGGACGAGGAGGGCAGCGTGGCCCGGCGACCTCCCCGTCGTCTTATTGGAACCTTTTCAAGTGACGACGACGAAGAAGAGGAAGAGGAAGAGGAAGAGGACGATATGGATGAGGATGAAAGTAGTCTCGTGGGCCCCGGAGGACCATGGGGAATACCCGCTTCACACGGAGACTCATATCACGATGCACCGTCATCTCCAACGCACACCGAGGAGACTGATGACGGAGAAAACCCAGAACTCGATCTAGCCCCTGGACGCCGATACTTGCAAAATGTGGTGGAGGACTCCGAGGAGAGCGAATCGTCAGATCCGAGTTCCCCACCTCCACGTAGGCATACTCGGCCGGTAGGAAGTACAGGTGTCACTTTTGGAAATGCGATTACCATCGACGATTCTGAAGAAGAACAGCCAGTTGGCCCCGTCAGAAGACAAGTACAAAGACGACAACCCAGATACTCACCATATTAAGCGTGAAAAGACTGTGCCAACGGAGACTTCGACCTTGCTTCAACATTACCCTGCATTCTCCGGTGTTATTTCTGTTATTTCTTTTCTTGATTTCAAATAGCGCGGCGCCCCGGATACATAGAAAGTGGATCGGCGCTCTTTTACCTGCGAAACTCGACTTTTGCAGATGAGGTTATCGGACTCAACTGGCAGTGACTTGAATGCTGGTGCTTCCCATCTTGAAAAATACACCTTGGATTACGCTTTTATCCATGGCTTCCTTCCCTCCTACTTCGTCTCCTGTATTTCCCCTACCACGGCGCCTACTAGCATCTCCTTCCCTACTATTTACGCCATAGTGAGGTGGAGGTTGGCCGTGAGAATACTTTTAATTCAACCACTCGATGACAGCTTTTTACCAGAAGCATACAATGACAATGATATCCATTACGTGAAGCTATCATCTCGTGTAGTACCTTTAGGGTAATTTGTAGATCCATGCTACTACCGTACGGCAAAGCATAGCCGGATCACGTGATAATATTGTCAACCTTAGCCGTCCTTGTTGTATTGTACATAGTTGAAAAGAGAATGAATGGATTGTACGTTGGATCATTTCGAAATTAAAGTAACTGGATAACTGTGTTTCCGCAAACAACAACCCCATTGATTGGTTGGGGAAAAGTGGTTAATTCACGCCCACTCGTGGTTCTAGTTTTAACTATGAGCACCGCCTTGGCAGATAAGCCACTCAGGTCTCTGCGTTGTCCTGCCACCATGAGCTTCATCGTACCACCATCTAGCAAGCCCGATCGCTTGCAGGATGCTCAGACGTCCCGGAATATCCACATCATTGAACCCTTTTACCAACAGAAAGCTCCAATTATCAATCTCGCCTCAGTCCTCTTTGGGACAAGTGAGTCATCTTAGTCTGCCAAGCAGGCTGCGGGGAGGACTTCGTGATAAATTCTTGATTCGCCAACCTTCTTTCTACTTTAATTCTCGACTCTCGTGCTCCATCAGATCAGCGCACAGCTGCCACAGCAGAGAGAAAATGCCTTCTCCTCAGACTTTGCCCTACGGCCGATGGAAGAGTCCGCTTACAGCGGAACGCTTGGCTACCTGTAGCATCTCTCTCCATGAAGTGGCCGTGAATGTTCGTCATAGAATATTTAAATTTTACGCCCGTAACTAACAAGAAACAGGAAAATTCAGGTGCTATTTACTCGGTAGAATGCCATCCAACCGAAGATGGCCGCTTCGCTATCGTAGAGCATCTCAATGGTCAATCTAAGGATGCTCTGCCCAGGGAGTTCAGCGCCCATGCTACCGTGCAAGAGTGTGGCGGCGGCTCTATCTCAATGAGGCCAGACGGGCAGATTTTATTCGCGGATGAGAGCTCTTGTAGCATCTATATGTTAGATCCGGCCACAAGCCAAGTCAAGCTTATCCACCCGGCAGTCGAGGGAATTCGATATGCTGAATTCAGCACTCATCCGCAGCATCATCAATGGATCATTGCAATCAAAGAGGACCACCGAGAGGCTACTCCCGAGACTCAAGCAACCCATGTGTATAACACACTGGTGGCGATTAATGTTGAATCTGGAGAAGAGACGACAATCGCACAAGGCGATGACTTCTACTCCCATCCAAAATTTGATGCTTCTGGAAAGTACGTTTCTTGGATTCAGTGGACTCATCCTGACATGCCATGGACCGGCACTGTCCTGCATATGGCGGAATGGACAGATGGATCATTGACAAATGTCACACGCATTGCTGGAAAGGCACAACAGGAAAGTATTGCCCAACCTAAATGGGGTGTGGATGGATTGCTATACTTTGTCAGTGATCGCACGGGTTTTTGGCAATTATATACCTTCAACCCGAAGGACCAGAATCTGCGATACTTATCACTCAATGGCTATGAAAAGTCTGAGTTCGCTATCGCCGAATGGGAACTTGGAAGGTATGTCTTGGAGCATTGATTCCTTCTAATACCTACCTCTGACATCTATACAGCTCTACATATCTTTTATTGGATGAGAAGACGATTGTTGCTACAGCTGTGACAAATGGCACCAGCAAAATGCTTCTCGTCGACACTAATACTCTGGCTGTCCAAGATCTTAATCTTCCCTACCTGGATATCGGAAATAGGGCAAATGCTATCCACCGTGTCTCATCAACAAGCTTTGCAGTTGTTGCGTCCTCAGCGACATCCCCCAGGAATTGGGTCTTGTATCGATAAAACCCTCTTTTGACGTGGAGAAGTCGGTCCTCACATCCACCGCATCTTTTGAATTGGCACCTGAATACGTTTCTCAAGCGACGGAGTATATTGCTCCTCAAAAATACGGCCCCATCTCTGATGGCAAAGTTCATATGTTTTTCTTTCCTCCTTGCAACCCAGAATTCCAGGCAGATGGGAGCAAACTTCCTCCAGTTCTAACATATGTCCACGGGGGACCAAATGGATGCTCTTTCCCTGCCCTAAACTTGGAAACCCAATACTGGACTACTCGCGGCTTCGCCGTTTGTGCAGTCAACTACACTGGATCGACTGGATTTGGACGCGAGTACCGCGAGAAATTGTCCGGCCACTGGGGCATCGTCGACGTGGCCGACGCCGTCAGTGCCGTTGAATACCTCGCCGAGAAGAAACTTATCGATAAAAATAGAGTCGGTATCTATGGCCAAAGTGCCGGTGGGTACTTGACTCTGCGAGCTCTACACATGTACCCTAACGTCTGGGCGGCGGGAATCAGCTCTTACGGAATCAGCGATGTGCGGGCCCTTCAGGCAGACTCGTACAAATTCGAAAGTCAAGATGTCGACCGCATTCTGCTAGGGAAAACTGCACAGGAAGACCGAGCACGGGTGCTAAAGGAGCGCAGCCCATGCCACTATGCTCAGGACATGAAGGCGCCTCTACTGCTACTGCAAGGAACGACTGATATGGTGGTGCCTTTGGCACAGGCACGCATGATGGCTTCAGCTATGCAGGAGCAAGGACGGGTCGCCGAAGTTGTGGAATTCGAGGGTGAAGGTCATGGGTGGGTTGGACAGAAAGCCATTTACGAATCCTTCACTCGGAAGGAGGAGTGGTGGAAACGCCATCTGACTTAGCTTCGTTCTCATCTGTCGCACTTGTAAATCAATAAAAAACCTTGCAATTTATTAATTCGTGCTCCATTCGCAGGATTGCTCGATCTTGACAAAACTGGCTGGACTTGCCTAATTTGTCTACAGTCCGATGTGCAGATCAGATCCAATAGGCTGGTGCATTTTCAGTTTCTTTCCAAATGACTTCTATTGGTCTTTAGCAGTAGCTAACTAACATTAGGGCTCTCGCATTGGTAATCGACTAATAGTAGCTATTACGCGGCCAAACCTTCGTTTATTGTACTCGTAGTAAACCAAGGCGAGAAGCCAAGTCAAATTAGGTTACAAGCTCGGGGAGCCCCGAAAGTCTGTGCTTCAAAGCAACCAGGGATGGCCCGCTCCTTGTGAGACACCTTTTTTTCTGTACTTGCTTTTTTCGTGCCATTTTTTTTTTCAGACACATCTGACAAGGATAAATATTGGGATCGGTGAATTACTTAATACATATGCAAAGCCAACTCTTAGCACCCCTTAATTCCAACCACCCTCTGAAGAACGCGGTGCAGTTTAGATTGCGCAAGCCTCCGCTTTAGGCCTCGGCACCGCGATAAGCCCAAGTAGCCTTCCTTAGGGTTCGCTCATCCACCACTTAGATGGTGTGATTCGCTCGTCTCCGTCTTCGGCTGCTCTTGGCATAATAATATCTTTGGAGGAGCCAGCTTCTTTGTCTTTTTCTCTATCCTTTTGGTCTGCAGCAAGGTGGCAGAAGCGACAGCAAAAATGGCTGGGGTATACGAGGACCAGGAGATCTCCAACAAATCGGCGAATCAGTATGTCACTCATGATGTTGAAGACTACGTGCCACCAGCCACAGATTTGCCGTCTTTCAGAGCTGGAAGTGCCGATGATGGGCACATTGTCTCTCAACATGAGCAACAGAACCTGGTTCGAGGCTTAGGGCAGCGCCATATTCAGATGATTGCGATCGCGGGTGCAATTGTAAGTACATAGCCCCCAACAGAGGTAGATTTTATAATAAGTAAAAAGGTCGAATAATTAACGCCCAAACAGGGAACAGGTCTTTTTCTTGGTCTTGGTGGTTCCATAGCCACGGGTGGCCCATTGGGGGCACTTCTGGGCTATGTTTTCGTCGGCTCAGTGGTCTGCGCCATTCAATTCGCCCTGGGTGAAGTTTCCGCCTTGCTTCCGGTGACCGGTTCTTTTGTTCGACACGCAGAGCTTCTTGTTGACCCAGCACTATCGTTTGCTGTTGGTTGGAACGTTGTTTATGGGTGTTTCATCAGCGTGCCTAGTGAGATCAGCGCTAGTGTGGCCTTGATCCAGTACTGGAATACCGATGTCAATGCGGCAGTCTGGGTGACTATTCTCATCATCGTGTCTGTCGTGGTTGCCATCTCGTTCATTCGAGTCTATGGTGAGGTCGAGTTTATCTTTGCTATTTTGAAGATCCTTCTGGTCGTTTTCGTGGTCATTCTGGGTCTCGTCATTGACCTGGGCGGAGTACCAGGCAAACCGCGCTTAGGATTCCACTATTGGAAAGACCCGGGCCCTTTTGTCGAATACATTTCCACCGGATCTTGGGGCCGCTTTCTCGGCTTCTGGGCTGTCATGACCAATGCAGTGTACTCCTTCGCTGGCGTGGAGTCGTTGGCTATGGCTGCTGCGGAAACGAGGAACCCGCGTCACAACATCCCGAAAGCCTGCAAGCGAGTCTTTGCTCGAATCATTATTTTCTACCTTGCTGCTGTCTTGGTTGTGGGTATGCTGGTATCTAGTGGGGACGATCGCCTCACTGGCGATGCTATGACTGCGGCGCAAAGTCCATTTGTTATTGCCGCCGGTGATGCAGGCATCAAAGCTATTCCTTCAATTGTGAATGCTATATGCCTTACATCTGCTTGGTCGGCCTCGAACCAGAGTATTCTTGCTGGAACCCGAACCCTTTACGGTCTTGCGATCAAGGGCCACGCCCCTCAGATCTTTCTTCGAACTACCAAGTGGGGTGTGCCGTATATGTGCGTCTTGTTGCAGGTTGCCTTTTCTTTCCTGGCATACATGTGCGTTTCCAACACCGCCTTGACCGTTTTCTTCTGGTTTGTCGATTTGACAGCGGCCGGAACTTTGGTATCTTGGATTGCCATTGCACTGAATCATATCCGTCTACTCCAAGCACTGAAGAAGCAGGGGATTTCGCCAGACCAGCTTCCGTGGCATAACCGCATTACTAGTATGTTAAATCGAGGATGCATTCCTACTAATATGCCTTTTACTAACAATTAAACAGGATATACTTCCTGGTTCGCCCTCATTTCGTGTGTCATAATCCTATTGACGGGTGGCTTTACCGTATTCACGAAAGGGAACTGGGATCCAGCATCATTTGTATCATCATATCTGTAAGTTTATTATTTGCGGCCTTGCTCGATGGCCAGACGAACGAAAGCTGACCTTCTGCTCAGCGATATCCCACTTGTTCTGTTTGCGTACGGAGGCTATAAGTTGGCCCGCCGGACCAAGGTAACACCCTTAGAAGCCGTTCCCATCAGGCAGGCCCTGGAAGAGGCCGAGAATGACCCTGAAAATGTGCCAATCGTGAAAGGCAATAGCATATGGTCAAAGCTGAATATATTGTGGGGATAGGACCATCTGAGAAGATCATGTTGCATCGAGATACCCTTATTTCAACCATAGAGTGTTAACGAGTCATGATTTCGGCGTATATTATTAACTAATCATAAATTGAAAGCTGTTCCTTTCCAAGATTTGAGATGAAATATTCCACGTTTGATTTCAAGTTTGATTGCATGAAAATACTGGTGGTTATTTACTACTAGTAACTACTGTCGACGAATTCAATCAGCCTGAGGCAACGATCTATAAATGTAGTGCTAATTCATCGGGTGGGCTCCGGTCACTCGGGTATTGAATGTTTAATTGGATCAAGCTCCATCTGCCTCAGTTCTGGTGCTCTGGAACATCAGCCAACTTCACTTGTCCCCTTGACTGGACACTGGAGTCTTTTCCCTGGAAGTTGAATATCTTGTCTACATCGAGATACATAGCCATACCCCGGCACGATATGACTCGCGGAGCAAAACTCCCTAGGGCCTGCAAGGATTGCCGCGCTCTCAAGAGCCGCGTGAGTATCCACGGGTCATCTCGTCTGTTAATATCGTTTCCCATCTTTGAGTGACGCCCTCCTGCATTTGTACTTTTAGATATCGATGTCCTTTGTCTACGCTGTTATGTGTCATTGCCAAATTCTTTCCAATGCCGATGTGCCTGTCCCCTCACGACTTAACGATATGCCTCGTTGCTTCCGGCCCGAAGATGATTCCATTAATGGAGACCCACATGCCTTATCTACATTCTACATTGGCATGTTCCGCTAGATCTCTTCCATTCTTTGGGAAGAAAGGTATGAATCCATGGGCTGTTAGGTATGCGATTCCTCTTGCAACCCATGCTTCACGGGTATACACCCAGGCTAAGAATTGGGAACGGTTTCCTTGGGCTCGAGATGTTTTGACCTGTATGGAGCATTTGAGTGACGACTATGCTGCTCGATTGCATGAGATATGGGGTGATTACTGGTTTGATCTTAACAAAACCGATGCCGTTAGAGTGTTGGATTTTAGTCAACTTGCCATGGGGCTACAAACGCAAGGCTTCATCGGTCAAGGATATAGAAAATGAGAAGAACTACTACGATATATGCGTTCTATTTCCACCATAAACAAGGACGGTACGTAATTTCACCGCTTTAGTTCATATCATGGGCCGTGGAAGATATACAGGGCTGGCGTGCGCATCGCTCATCTCTATCATTGACTGTCAATGGTCGTGCTAAGATCAACTTTGTGATCATAAAGTGGCAATGAGTGAGTACTACAGGGGAGTGCAAGACAAAATAAAACCAGACAATATCCGGTACGTATGTGAGGTGTAAAATACATGCACGGATCCGACTCCAGGACACCACAATGCTCCTAAATTCATCAATCTCTTTCCGAGATTGCAAGACAATCAAAAACCTGGAAACTTTTATACATCGGCCTCAGAAGCACTGGGGGAGATGAATGGGACCTCCAAAACAACAGCGCCATTGCGGCCTTCAGGGGAAGCCCCTTGGGAGTAGTTATTGGCGTAGCACTTCCACCGGCCCAAGCGGTGCTCCTTGCCAACCGCAGCAACGATACACAGGCCTCTAGGTTCAGTTTCGAGCATTGATTCGGCCCTGGACTTGGTAGCCGTCAAGCCTTGTTGTTCAGATTCCGGGCGGCGCTCGAAGACAGCGATGTCGTTGATCACACCCTTGATCAGATGGCCCGGTTCCAAGTTCTGGTTTTGTGTTTGCTCCTCTGTGTCCATGTCATCAGGGTTAGACACAGTACCAAGCTTAAGTGACTTGCTGAGCTGCTTCGAAGGCGTGTCAGGAGCGGACGGGTTGGGGGTTCCGCGTCCAACAGGGCCCAATGGAATGATTGTTCTCTTGTCGTCTGAAATTTGCCAGGCGCGAATCCAACCATCCCATGAACCACTAAGAACAATATCAGTTCCCGGAAGAGAGGTGAGGGCAGTGATCCAGCGTGGCATCGGGCGCATGTGTCGTGCGTTATGGGCGGCGGTTTCCAAGTTGGCTTCGGGCGATAACTCATCCAATGGAGGAATGCAGTCTAGTCCATGTGCAAGGGGAATTGTGTAGAGCGGCTTCTTCTTGTGGACCGACCACAGTGAGATGCTGCCGGAGTTGGAGCCAGTGACAAAGTGAGTAGGCGGGAGAGGAGCAATGCAGTCAAGATGACTTTCGTGGTAGGGAGCTTTCTTAGAAGCCCCTCCACGGAATACAAGCTGTGTTTCGTCGACAACTTTCCACAAGCGTGACGTGCGGTCCTGTCCGCCGACAGAGACACACTCATCAATGGTCATGGCTGCAATCTGTTCAATGCCTGACTGGTGTCCGAACAATGTTTCAACATAAGCATGACCAGCTCCGCTGATGGACCATGTCTTTATCGTTCGGTCGTATGAGCCGGAGAAAAGCTGCTCTCCAGAGCTCATAGTTGAGATGTGCCGGGCGAACGACAGACAGCTAACGGAATCACGATGTTGAGTAAATGTTCTGGCAGGTGTCAAGGTATCGGCGTTCCAGATAATGAGCTTGTTATCAGCTCCACCAGTTGCAACAAATCGTCCAGAGGGAGATACAGCAACAGAAAGGATGCTTGCTGTGTGGCCCTGCTCCTCGCCGGTTTCGCCAACTTTGCGTAGGCCGCGAGCGTAGCTTACGCGCTTTGGCTTTTTGCGCTGCGGACGAGGGGGCCTTTTGGATGCAGCATCATTCGGGTCATTAGGAGTCGCCAATTCCCACTTCGTGAGAGTCTTATCTTTGCTAACGATGTAGACGAAGGGCGCGTGAACGGCAATAGAAGTACTGGTCTGGGTATCTGAGCGGAAGAAAGAATGCGCTGCATCGGGGAAGGATAGTTTGGAAGCGATTCGGCGAAATGTACGACCCTTGAATTCGTCCTGTAATTGTTTTTAGTATTCGTGGATCGCATGAAAAGTTAATATGATATCCACGTACCACATCCTCTTTCAATCGCTCAGCGATCAAATCTCTATCGATCTCTGCCGCATCGAATCCAACTTCGTCAACTTCTTCTCTGACGTTGTCCAGGTAGCGTTCTGCGAGTTTCAATCTTCGATCTCCCGCCGTTTCGCCATCATCCGAGTCGGATTCGGAGTCCTCCCCGGATCCTCCAGAGACAATTCCATTCTCATCGTCATCCAAATCACTTCCTGAAATAGACTCTTCCCGCTCCTGGGCGCGCCGACTTCCTGCGTCGTTTTTTGCATCGACACCTCGTTTCTTAGTTGTCGGGGCTGCATTGCGGTCGTCTCTCTTGCGCTTGCGTTGGGAAGCGGGGACGGTGAAAAACGAAGACATGGCGATCTTCAGAGGCGAAATTTCACTTCCACTGTAGAAATTCGCGAGCTCAAATCCCCGGGCTGGAAATGAACGTGGAGCGGTCGAGTCTGTTGCGCGGATTCAACTTTTTTTTTCGGGGAAAAAAAGCGCTCTAAGCGGCGGCTTAGTCATCAGTGTAGCTGCTCTCTGAGAGCTCCAAGGCGTCAAGCTCGCCGCGCGGTCATCATCCAACCACTTCTCTCCTCATCGCTGCTTTTTGAACCTCATCTTTCTTCGTTTTCTTTGATTTTACCAAACCGCAGACATGTAAGTCCACTGCTTGTGCTCCGCTGCAGATATCCACGCCATCTCTGACAAACCACGCTTGCTAGGGAGGTTCTCTTGGGTATCACTGGCAAGGACTTTGTCATTATTGCCGCATCAAAGGCCGTAATGCGAGGCCCGACCATTATTAAGGCGGAGGATGACAAGACACGGCAGCTCAACAAGCACACTCTCATGGCCTTCTCGGGAGAGGCTGGAGATACCGGTGAGTAGCTGATGATCCGCAACTCGACACTACCAATGCTAACGAATGGCTTCCCTCTAGTGCAATTCGCCGAATACGTCCAAGCAAATGTCTCTCTGTACACGATGCGCAATGACACCGAACTCAGCCCTGCCGCCGTTTCTAGCTTTGTCCGAGGAGAGTTGGCACGCAGCTTGCGGTCACGAAGCCCTTACACAGTCAACCTCCTGCTTGGAGGAGTGGACCCGGTGACCCAGGAGCCAAGCTTGTACTGGATTGATTATTTGGCCTCGTTGGCTCCCGTACCATATGCCGCCCACGGCTATGCCCAGTATGTTTGATCGGATAAAGTATGACTATCGACCGACCATTCGGGCTAACCTAATTAGATACTACTGCCTTTCCCTACTCGACAAACATCACAACCCGAACATTTCTCTGGAGGAAGGAATGAAGCTCCTCGAAAGGTGCACAGATGAGCTCAAGCGCCGACTACCGATTGACTACAAAGGAGTATGTTTGACTCTTCAATTCCCCAGTATAGGACTCTACTGACTCAATATTTAGGTGTTGGTGAAGGTGATCACCAAGGATGGAGTCAAGGTGATGGATTTCGATAATGATAGAGTTGTGCGCAGTGCTTAATGGTCGACATGCCGGGGTGTTTGTTGTATCATATCCTATGACGTTTTAACATTGATTACGGGATGAAACTCAAGATGTAGCGCAATATGAACGTATACAAGAAACTTCACGTAAACCTCTTCAATGCAGAGCATTCAAACAGACATGTTGCTTCCTATAAATACCCAAGAACCACTTCATACATAATGTTGATTGTCGTTGCATCGGAGCCGTGACCGGCCGCTGTGGTGATGATGGGCTATGTTTGACTTGTTTGCACTCGTCCTAAGCTTGCGGAACTGAAGAACCTCAAGCATTGAAATCCATCTTCCACACCACACCACCCCCATCGCCATGTCGAAGAGACCAGCAGAGCTTCCATTGGACCAGAACTCCGTTGGTTCGCCCGCGTCCAAAAAGGCGCGCGTGGAGGACGAAATTAAAGACGACTCTCGCGGCGGCGCGACTCATGCGCGACGACTCAGTGGCCGGGAGCAAGAACAAGACGATCGCAATGGCTATGACATTCTCGCAGCGGCCGATCTAGAAGGAGAGGAGCTACAGGAAGGTGCACAGGATGACCTGGAGTCCTCAGACATCGATGAAGACGCTTCCGCCCTCAGCGCCCCGAAGCGACAGACTCAACCAGTAGAGGGTTATGGCGACCTTTATCTCGACACGGTGAACCGCGGTATCCTGGACTTCGACTTCGAGAAACTGTGCTCTATCAGTCTGTCAAACATCAATGTTTACGCATGCCTCGTATGCGGTAAATACTTCCAAGGCCGCGGCCTCAAATCTCATGCCTATTTTCACGCTCTAGAGATCGGACACCATGTCTTCATCAATATGGGCACCAAGAAGGTCTATGTCTTGCCGGAAGGCTACGAGGTGCAGAGCAAGAGCTTAGACGATATCAAATATGTGGTCGATCCACACTACAGCAAGGCCGATGTTACGAAGCTGGACAAGGAGGTCATCGATGCCTGGGATTTATCAGGATCTCGATACCGGCCAGGTAAGATATTGTTTCTCCGTGTTGAGTCTTCATCAGCTAACTCTCGTTAGGATTTGTTGGAATGAATAACATTAAAGCCAACGACTACCTGAATGTCGTAGTTCAACTTCTGGCACACGTTCAACCAATCCGCAATTTCTTCTTATTGCACGACTTTCCTACACCAGGGACGCCAGAGATCGTGCTTCGCTTCAGTACCCTAGTGCGCAAGTTATGGAACCCAAAGGCATTCCGATCTCATGTGTCTCCGCATGAACTGCTGCAGGAAATTTCTATGAAGTCTGCCAAACGCTTCACTCTCAGCGAACAGTCAGACCCTGTTGATTTTCTGTCGTGGTTCCTCAACACTCTTCATCTCTCTTTGGGCGGCTCGAAAAAGCCCTCGCCAAATCCAACCAGTGTGATTCACGCCGCTTTCCAGGGCCGCGTCCGAATTGAAAGCCAGGATATTACTGCGCACTCCGATACCCAAAATGCGCGCCTGGTCTTTACTGAATCCGGCGATATCAACAGCAAAGTCACCCCTTTCCTTGTCTTAACGCTTGACCTGCCGCCCACACCACTATTCCAATCTGTCAACAGGGAATCCATTATTCCGCAGATTCCTCTCACGACCCTTCTCAACAAATATAACGGACTCACTGCTTCCGAGAAACTTGCCCAGCGTGTCCGTCATCGCCTCCTCCACCCTCTTCCACCATTCCTCCTCTTCCACATCAAGCGCTTCAGCAAGAACCGCTTTGTCTCCGAGCGCAATCCAACTATTGTCACATTCCCATCACCAAACTCTCTCGACATGTCCCCCTATGTCGAGCCGAATCCCGAAGTTTGGCCCCCAGGAGAGCCAATCATGTATGATCTTGTCGCAAACATCATTCTTGATCCCAGTATTGCTGCGCCCGGAGCTACCGAGGATTCTGCACAGAAAGGAGTCAATGCAGCATCTGGAGAAGGTGGTTCTTCTGCAGGTGCTGGCGCGGGCAGTGAAAAGGTCTCTTGGCTGGTTCAGCTTCATGATAAGGCCATGGGCGCTGAAAATAATCGCCAGCAGGGTGGCACCGAGGGGAAGCAGCAGCAACGTGGCGCCGAGTGGCTTGAAGTTCAAGATCTGTTCACTAAGCGTGCCGAGAGCGAGACTCTGTTTACTCGTGAAGGTTACTTGATGGTTTGGGAGCGGAGGAAGACCCCTGGTAAGAAAGGAAAGGGACGTGCTTGAATGGGAATTTTGGATCAATGGATACGCTTTTTTAAAAGATTTTCAGTTCTATCATGAAACTCTCTAGGTCTACATGGCATGAGGAGTCGGACACCGTTTCGTGACACCCTCATGGCGAGTCTAGTGTACCAATAACAGTATGACGATTTACGTTACCCCTTTTTTATGAATCATCAAGCCAATTGTAGAAGGCATGATATGTATTGAAACGCTATGAAAAATGATACCCTAAATGCAATGCAATGAAGTTGCTCTTTTCATAATGTGCCCCAACCGCAGAATTTCCTCCCAATTCTCATTGTCGAGCCTACCAGGAATCCCCACACGCCTGCTCTCAAGGCAGCCTGCATGCCTCTCATGAGTATAAGCCTACCGGTATAAGCACCGATGTCCACCCAAGAGATCCCACCGAACCATAGATTCAATGGATGGAGGTTTGTCAACTGAGCTGTGGAAGAGGCGTGTGTGGCGAGATAGGAGTGCGCCAGCGAACGGTAGCACAATGATTCGAGTGGGGCAAGAATGAGATTGCTCAGAATCGCAGCAAGGTGCGATGCAAGTGAATCCACAGGGTGAGCAGAGAGCAGAGTCACTCGGTGCGCATTGGACGACGGATACGCAGAGGATGCTGGGATTTGAGAGGTAGGTGCGTCGGGTTGGTCTATCACTTCGGGCGAGAGATCTTGTGTCGCCGCTATAGCTGCTGAAGGTGGTAAGGGATGAGCATCAATGTCACTTGGCTCTTCGACGCCATCTGGGAGGATGTTTTGAACGACAGATTGCGAGATTTCGCCCGCGGTATGGCCAACTAGTTCTTGGTTCATCGTTTCACCGTCATCCAGGCCATTTGGAGGCTCATTCTCAATCAGGTGTGCATCATGTCCAGTTGCAAGGTTTGGTTCCGCATTGATGTTCGAAGGGCCATCATGAATACCCAAAGTTGGGGATTGTGCAGCCTGTTGCTGAGCCTGGCTGAGAATCAAAGCCTCCAGAAAGTCGGCAATTGACCGACGATCAACAGTAGACGAGCGGCGCAGACCCGCATTGTTCGTCCCCAATCTTGGAATATGTGAACTTGAGACGGAGGCAGGGTTGCGCGCAGTTCGAGTTCGGTTGCCGAGCAGTTCGAGTTGCATCGTAATTATGTCCGAACTCTGGTGAATCAATGAAGCCCTAACTCGGGGCGAGGTCGGGGGCGATGTCTCCGGGGACGATGGACGCGAGAATAAAGTATTTGAACGAGAATTTTGTCGACCTCTGGATGTGACTTCGGCTTGTTGTGAGTTGCTTGGCAAGCTTTGAGTGTTTGAGACGGTCGATTGCGATGGTGCGCTGGTCCGTCCTATAGTTGCCATTTCAGAGAAAAAGTCATTGCTCATCTCTCCCGGAGATTGAGACATGCGATTTTCATTCGTTAAAACCTGGGGAATACCGAAACGCATCTCTCCATCGTCTAGACTTGTCCCCTCAGGAAGAGTAGCAAGTCCTGCTTGCCCAAGATCAATCGTGTTTCGGCGCGGCATAGGGCCCGGGGGTCTAGTAAAGGGAGCTACGAGCCCATCCTCTGCGGGGTCATTTCGAAGCTGTACCTCCTCGAGCTCGTGCCGAAGCGATTCGATCGAATTTCTGAGGTTTTCTATTCTCTCCTGGCTGGAAGCTTCCATAGCTTTCTGGCTGGACGTATTGCTAGAGAACAACCCAAAGAATGAGAATAACCATTCTCGGAAAGCAACAAGCTCACATTGCATATCTTGTAACAACGTGAGTTTAGCACGGCGAGCCTCTTCGTCTGCGCGCCGTCCTAGGGTTGGCACCACCCATTCAACCAGATTCTCTTCGAAGGCAACCCTGATTGACAGCTCATCCGCAAGCACCGGCTTTGGTACCTGGCGGCGGATCAAACGGTAGATACGTTCTTCTAGCGCTGGGCGCAAGTAAAATGCATAGATGAATGTTAGAACTGCCGGTGAGGCTAGCAAACGTAAAAGGAAGCCGGTTATAGCTGGAGCAGAGAGGTCCGTTGGGAGGTCTGGAAGTCTTATGAGAGACTCCCCCCCAAAAGGTATGAGTAGTCGAAGGCTTGGTATGGATTTCGGTGGGATAATGGAAAGTGTTTGGAGAATTGAGTACATGTAAGCCTCGACGGATAAAACTAGAAGTGAACTTCGAGCACTGAAAGGAGACGTCAGGATTCGTGAGATGATTGCCGCGTGGAGGAAATACTTACGTGAAGTATGTAATTATAGATACCGCACGAACAGCCAGCGAGAGACTGCCATTGCCTGTGATGCTCACAACATAGTCCCTGATCGCAGTCCATGTGCGCTTCCAGGGATTGTCGCGAGCAATGGCCAATCCGCTCGACACCGCCCATGCGGGAATTCCAGCGAAATAGAACCCTAAAATCCCAGTGGTACCACGTTCAGACCGTATGACATCGAGCAGTGCAGCATGTGTGTAATGTCTGAACGTCTGCAATACAGTGATGCGAGTGTCAGTCTATGTCTAGTCTCCAGTGACCAACGAACATCCATACCTGTATTTCTCCTGTGAGAGATGAAGTCCACCAGGAGCCAAAGAAAACAAAAAGTTGATCAGCAGTGGTAATCACTAGGCCAAAGTCATTCTCGGCCGTTATCTGATTGATTCGTTGCTGTTCATTAGAAGAACTGGCACTGCGGTCCTCGCCACTGACGACGATCCCCATTGTAGAGAGAATGTCATTTTTAGCTTTTCTGAGTGCGCGTCCCAGGCTTTTAGATTCTGGATTCACTGGATGTCCGCGAGAGTCATATTGCTGCATATAGCTGTCGGCATGGATATGCGAGACTCTCCGGACGGGACTGGACGGGTCAACGGTAGCAGTCTCTGGTAGCTCATAAGGCGACCGGCCCTGTGATCAGTCAATAAGCTGGCCATAATAGCATCATACTAGAAACTGAGACTAGAAACTGAGATAGAAGCAGCATTGTAGAAAATGATTTAGACAGATATTGTGTTGGCCTGGGAGCAGCTTTATGTTGACTTGCTATACCACCAGGTAGATGGAAAGCACCCAGAGAAAGCAACATGCATACATAAAACTGTAGAGAGGCAAAAACAACAGAATATCCAAACCAGGAATCAATAAAGTAAAAGCATTAAGGTCAAGCTTACCAAAGCTAGCCGGTTCAAATATGCCTGTCGGCCCATGGCGATGACCCCAACTGGGTTCTCATCTCTCACAACAGAGAAATGGCTGTGTCGGCCGTGAGTCTATAACGAGCTCCAGGGAAACTGAAGAGAAAAAGAATGAAGTTCGAATATAGAAAAGAGAAGATGAGTTGTTTCGAATGGCGCAGCTGGAAGGAAGGGAGACCACGTGCCGCGATGGTTATCTTATCGGGGAAGTGCAAATTGTGCAAACACCCAAAAAAAAGTCGCCCCGAGCTTTTCGCATCTCCGACCTTCAAAGTGGGCGGCGTGCAAGGGCCGGTGATTATACACCATGTCGAAAGCAATTGTGAAGACCACTTTCGAGGCATCGAAGACCCTCCAACCTATCTACACCGGTGGAAGCACCGCGCTTGATGCCAGTGGCCGCATCTTGCTCAGTTGCGTCGGTGAAGATGCGAACATCGTTGACCTTGAAACCGGTGACCAGCTCGCCAGTTTGGAAGGAGTGAGTTGACCTGCGCTTCCGATACTGCTCGTGGAAAATTCTAACCAATTATGTCTCAATAGGATGGAGAGATCATCACCAGTCTAGCCAGTACGTTTGCTTTGAGGTGGCTCTAAAGTTTCGAGATGCTGATAATTCCTCTAGTCACGCCCTCTGCGTCGCATGCGATCGTTTGCTCGCGTTCAATGACTATGCGCATCTATTCGCTTTCTCCCTTCGATTTTGACGAGAAAAGGACCCAGGTCATTGAGGCAAAACTCGCCCGCACCCTCAAACCCCACACTTCGCCTGTCGTAACAACCACAATTGACCGCACCGGCACTTTGCTAGCAACTGGTGCTGCGGATGGATCCATAAAGGTCCATGATATCAAGGGTGGATATGTCACGCATACCTTTAACGACCGTGGCGTAATTTCGGCACTGTGCTTCTTCGAGGTTGAGGTCTCCGATAGCAATGTCAAGTCCTCCAAGAAGTCCAAGAAGGTGGCATCTGGTGACGACGAAGATATGGAAGATGCCGACTCAGCAGTTGGTTTCCGACTGGCTTCCGGTAGCGAGGAGGGCCGCGTCCGCGTCTTTGACCTTCACAAGAAGAAGGCTGTTGCCTCGCTCGACTCTCACGTTTCTCTGGTGAGAAGCCTGTCCTTTTCTGCATCCGAAAACGCCTTGCTCTCGGCTTCCCGTGACAAGACGGTCATCATCCACGATGCTCGCACTTACAAGCAACGCCGAATTATTCCCGTACTGGAGTCCGTCGAGGCTGCTGCTTTCATTGCAGACAGTGGAGTGTGCGTGGTCGGTGGTGAGAATGGTAAGCTGAGGGCTTTTGATGTCAACCGCGGCAGTGAAATCACAGAGGAGCAAGAGGCAGGCGAGGATTTTGAGTCAGTCATTGCCATTCAGTACTCCCCGGGCATGTCTTTTGCCATGACTGTGCATGCAGACCAGACAATTCGTCTCCATTCCCTTGAATCTTTGACAAGCTACACACCAGGATCAACCCTAGAGCCATTGACCATCATTCGACGTATCTCTGGCAATGACGACGAAATCATTGATTGTGCTTTTGTTGGCCCCGATCGATCAATGCTTGCGCTGGCTACCAATACAGAGAGTATTCGCATTGTCTCTGTGGCACCTTCTGCAGACCGACCTTCTGCCGACGGTGATGCCTTCTTCGGTGCTGATGTCGCTTATCTGGATGGGCATGATGATATCATCATTGCTATGGACGTGGATTGGTCCGGGCACTGGCTTGTGACTGCTGGCAAGGACAACACTGCCCGGCTTTTCCGTCTCGATCCTAAGAACTCGTCCTATACCTGCTTTGCGATCCTCACGGGTCACGCCGAATCTCTAGGCGCCATTGCATTCCCGCGTGCTCCCCCGCCAGTTGAGAGCGCTGCATACAATGACCCGGTCAACCACCCGCCAGCTTTCCTCATCACCGGCTCACAAGATAAAACTATCAAGAGATGGGACCTCGGTAAATTAACTCCTCTCAAAGATGACACACCTCACAGCCCCAAGGCAATTTACACGAGAAAGGCCCACGAGAAAGATATTAACTGCATTGATATCGACTCGACGTCTACCCTCTTCGCCTCGGCCTCCCAAGATCGTACTGTCAAGATTTTCGATGCGGATGAAGGATCAGCAATCGGTATCCTGCGTGGACACAAGCGTGGCGTTTGGGGAGTGCGTTTCTGTCCAAAGAACACCCCGGTCATCAACACCGATGCAGGCACTAGCACAAATAAGGGTATCATTGCTACTGGAAGCGGTGATAAGACAGTCAAGATCTGGAACTTGGCCGATTACAGCTGCCTGTTGACCCTGGAGTCTCACTCGAACTCCGTATTGAAGGTTATTTGGCTTCCCCCTCCACAAGTCTCCAAGCCACAGATTGAAGACGAGGACGAGGACGAAGAAGCTTCTGCCCACAAGGAAAATGTCCAAACACGACCATTGGTGGCATCAGCCGGTGCCGATGGACTTGTGAAGATCTGGGACGTCTGGACTGAGGAGGTGCAATGCACCTTGGATAACCACACAGACAGAGTCTGGGCACTTGCCACTCCACACCCCTCAGGCTCTCGCGTCAACGCCAAGCCCACTTCCTCCAAAATTAACTCGACTCCCTACGCTCTTGTTTCTGGCTCCGCAGATGCTACAGTCACCTGCTGGACCGACACCACCTCTGCCACCTATACCGCTGCCGTGAACGCCAATTCCGAGCGCATTGAGCAGGACCAACAACTGCAGAACTACATTCGCGCTGGAGCGTACCGCGAGGCCATTACCCTGGCTCTGCAACTGAACCACCCTGGCCGCTTGCTGTCTCTATTCACTTCTGCCATTGATGCAGCCGATAGCCCATCCCTTTCAGACGAGGAGCGGGAGCGTGCTGTTGGTAGTCTGACCGGTAACCCGTCCATCGACGAGGTGTTGCAGACTTTGGATTCAACAAATCTGCGGACCCTGTTGCTCCGTCTTCGTGACTGGAACACTAATGCCCGCACATCCCGGGTTGCGCAGCGCATTCTCTTCGCTCTGTTCCGCTCATACCCTGCCTCCACTTTCGTGGAGCTCGCTACGCAATCCGTGCGCGGAAAGAACGGCGGTATTGCTGCGGGCATGAAGGATATCCTCCAGGCTTTGGCGCTCTACACCGAGAGGCACTACAAGCGTATTGAGGAGCTGACAGACGACAGCTACCTTGTTGAGTGGGTTCTTGGCGAGATGGACGGCGGCGTCGGTCTTGGTGGAATGATGAGTCTGGATGAGGGAGAAGCTGAGCATGAGAAGGACGTTATCATGTTGGAGGCTTAAAAAAGCCTTGTATTTTTTGTATATTCATGGCGCTTTTGCTTTTGGGAGTACCATGGGAGTGGGATAGGATAAAAGCCATCTACTTTCTTATATAGATTCAAATTTCATGTCCATTATTCTCAAAATTGAATTTTTAACAGTGCCACATAATCTAGCACATATAGCACACGGCCAGGGTATCTCTATCTAGGGCTGTTTCTAACATCGTCTTCTCAATTCGCTGCACATGCCATATAGCTAATTCGTGATATACAAGGGGGTTGGTTCGCTCGGGACAAAATCAATCGTCCCGACGACGCCGATGAGAATCGCGATCACGGTCACGGTCACGATCGTGTCGGGAATGAGACGAGCGGCTGCTATATCCATCATCGCGGTGTCTGCGAGATCGGTCTTGGTCGTAGTCTCGGTCTCTTCGATCTCTATCATCATCGCGAGCTCGTCGACGATCCCGGTCCGAGTCACGAGAAGACCGATCATCCCTTCGCCGGTCATCATCATCATACTTGGAGCGTCGAGAGGACGAATGGCGACCAGCGGAACGGCTGCGATCACGACGCGAGGACGAGGACCCAGACCCGGACTTCCGATCGGAACGTTCGTCATCGTAGTCCCTTCTGCGATAGTCTCGATCCCGACCTTTATCGCGCCCACTCTTATCTAGATTTCGATCTCGTCGTTCTTTCCACTCATCTGCCTCGGGCATGGACTTGGCCTCTTTCTTCTTAGTTGCGAGTTCCTCCTCCGTAATGTACTCTCCGGTGTTCTTGTTTCGCATGGTGACAGGCATATAAACACCCTCAGTGTTACCATCTGCGTTCTCCTCGCCCTGTTTCCTTGATGCCTTGCGCATTGCTGATTTGCCCCATGCACCAAATTCCACCTCTGCGCCCTTTCCAGAATCCTTCGCTCCAATGCCTAGAAACCCGGCCCGGCGCGGCGGGGCACGAGGTTCGTTGGCTTTCTTTGCGTTTTCAGACGAGCCATAGTTGCCTCTTCCAATAGTCTGACCATCTTTCCACCCCATACCTCGAAGAAGCGCCGCGCCAAATTCCTCGACCGGAATGGCATTGTATTGGTCAAGTGTAGCGGGTTCGGGTCGCGATTTCACATCTGTCTTGAAAGAGCTCGACTCGTCATAACGGCCGGATTCTTCGTCCTCCTCATCGTCGCGCGCTTTCGAGGCTTCAATGACAAGATCTGATCTCCTTTCAACCTCGCCTGTACTCTCCTTGATCAAAGCTTGGAGCGCAAGCTGGTCGTCTGTGAGGGGCTTGCTTTCCTCCGCTGGTTTCACGTCCTCCATAGGCTGATAGGTATCTTTTGTGGAAGCTGTGTTCTCATTTTCTGTAGATTCTTTGGCAAAGCTTAGGCCATACGCCATGCTGGGTCCCTCCGTCTCCACGGCACCTCCTGCGGAAGCTTGTCCATTCTTCTGCGCTTCCTGCATAGCTTGAACTTCACGGGGAAGAAGGTTCTTTTTCCCCTTCTTGGTATTGACGCCAGGCCGATCACGCCAGTTATTCTGGCTTGTAACCGGAATAACGAGCGGCTTCTTCTCATCACTGACTGCCTGGCCGTCGATAGTGATAGCACCGCCGGTATGGGTGTCGAATCCAGAGACTTCCTCGTGAGCTGGGGGCTGTTCATCTTCATCGGAGGATTCATCATGGCCGAGGTTATGCGGTCGGCGTGGG